CACTGGCTCTATCTGATTCTTAATTTGTATAAAAAGGTGTTTTTCACTTGTGTCTTTGTTCACTCTTTAAAATTATTCATACAGAAACTTTAACGCTCAGAACAATACGACTAACACATCTCCACAAGAGATCTTTAAAGAAATGATAATAATTTCAAAAAGCATATATTAAGAAATAATTTTATCTGTAATATGTGCAATTACTGCAAAGAGGTAGAAAATAAACGCAAATGTGAATGACCTAAGATACTAACGATAGCTCAGATCGAAATTATCTCAGCTCAATGTGCCATTTACATGTGATCTTGATGATATTAATGTAAGATTGTGGCAATATCTGCCTAAAATTGAGACAATTATGTCGATTGTCAAGTAGAAGAGTCATCATAAGAGGTCAAATAAGTACAACGAAGGTGTATGTAAGTGGTTGAGATGTTTGTGGTAGGGACGTGTTAGTGGTAATTATGTCTGGTCAAATATAGAAAACACACTTAAGTAAAACTTTCGATCAAGTTCATGTTAGCATACCCTAAAACCTCGAAAACAATTCGACCTCAAAAATAAGCCTATCATACATAAGCATGCATTTGCCTACTTTTAAAGATTGTACAATAGACACACCAGTGAATAGCAACTTTTAAATCAACTTTAAGTAAGATGCAGTTGTAAATAAATTAAACTGCGTCATACAGCTATTTCGTCCTTCTAGGACTCGTCAGTAATGCTACACTATACAGCTGTTTCGTCCTTCTAGGACTCGTCAGTGATGCTACATCACATAGCTGTTCCGTCCTTCTAGGACTCTTCATTGATGCTACATCATACAGCTGTTTCGTCCTTCTAGGACTCGTCAGTGATGTTACACTATACAGCTGTTTCGTCCTTCTAGGACTCGTCAGTGATGCTACACTACACAGCTGTTTCGTCCTTCTAGGACTCGTCAGTGATGCTACACTACACAGCTGTTTCGTCCTTCTAGGACTCTTCATTGATGCTACACTATACAGCTGTTTTGTCCTAAGACAAGTCAGTATGCTACAATATACAGCTGTTTTGTCCTAAGACAAGTCAGTATGCTACAATATACAGCTGTTTCGTCCTTCTAGGACTCGTCAGTGATACAGCTGTTCTAGGACTTGTCATGCTACATCACATTGCTGTTCCGTCCTTCTAGGACTCTTCATTGATGCTACCTCATACAGCTGTTTCGTCCTTCTAGGACTCGTCAGTGATGTTACACTATACAGCTGTTTCGTCCTTCTAGGACTAATCGTCAGTGATGCTACACTACACAGCTGTTTCGTCCTTCTAGGACTCGTCAGTGATGCTACACTACACAGCTGTTTCGTCCTTCTAGGACTCTTCATTGATGCTACACTATACAGCTGTTTTGTCCTAAGACAAGTCAGTAATACTACAATATACAGCTGTTTCGTCCTTCTAGGACTCTTCAGGACTCTTCATTGATGCTACATCATACAGCTGTTTCGTCCTTCTAGGACTCGTCAGTGATGTTACACTATACAGCTGTTTGTCCTTCTAGGACTTGTCACTTATGCTACATCACATTGCTGTTCCGTCCTTCTAGGACTCTTCGTTGATGCTACATCATACAGCTGTTTCGTCCTTCTAGGACTCGTCAGTGATGTTACACTATACAACTGTTTCGTCCATCTAGGACTAATCAGTGATGCTACATCATACAGCAGTTTCGTCCCTCCAGGACACGTCAGTGATGCTACACTATACAGCTGTTTCGTCCTTCTAGGACTCGTCAGTGATGCTACATCATACAGCTGTTTCGTCCTTCTAGGACTCTTCATTGATGCTACACTATACAGCTGTTTTGTCCTTCTAAGACAAGTCAGTAATACTACAATATACAGCTGTTTCGTCCTTCTAGGACTCGTCAGTGATGCTACACTATACAGCTGTTTCGTCCTTCCAGGACTCGTCAGTGATGCTACATCATACAGCTGTTTCGTCCTTATAGGACTCGTCAGTGATGTTACACTATACAACTGTTTCGTCCATCTAGAACTAATCAGTGATGCTACATCATACAGCAGTTTCGTCCTTCTAGGACTCGTCAGTGATGTTACACTACACAGCTGTTTCGTCCTTCTAGGACTCGTCAGTGATGCTACACTACACAGCTGTTTCGTCCTTCTAGGACTCGTCAGTGATGCTACATCATACAGCTGTTTCGTCCTTCTAGGACTCTTCATTGATGCTACACTATACAGCTGTTTTGTCCTAAGACAAGTCAGTAATACTACAATATACAGCTGTTTCGTCCTTCAAGGACTCGTCAGTGATGCTACATCACATAGCTGTTCCGTCCTTCTAGGACTCTTCATTGATGCTACATCATACAGCTGTTTCGTCCTTCTAGAACTCGTCAGTGATGTTACACTATACAGCTGTTCGTCCTTCTAGGACTTGTCACTTATGCTACATCACATTGCTGTTCCGTCCTTCTAGGACTCTTCGTTGATGCTACATCATACAGCTGTTTCGTCCTTCTAGGACTCGTCAGTGATGTTACACTATACAACTGTTTCGTCCATCTAGGACTAATCAGTGATGCTACATCATACAGCAGTTTCGTCCCTCCAGGACACGTCAGTGATGCTACACTATACAGCAGTTTCGTCCCTCCAGGACTCGTCAGTGATACTACATCATACAGCTGTTTCGTCCTTCTAGGACTCGTCAGTGATGCTAAGAGCCTAAATCCTAAGCCTAGTAGGCGACTGAGGAAAATCCAGGGATCGAAAGACGCGTCTTATTTTTGAGTTTTTAGTGTATTCCCCTCTGAGTCAGGATTTATTGTGATGAATTTTCAGTCTTATCGCGATATTTTTCACACTTCATTTATATCAATCACACTTTAGTAAATAGACACATTCTCCTACATGCTTGTAGATGTTTGATTGCAGTTTTCTGGCAGCGTTTACATTATGGAATGCGTCCTAGTGCCACGATATGTGTTACCAGATACGTGATATGATGACAAGTGCTGTTCGCATTACTGGCATACAAATCATTACTCGGGATGTTCAAAGCTGCGCATCAACCAACAGTTACCATTACGTAATATCGACATGCACGCAAACATATGCTGCAAATGTATTCTTAATTAAACTATATAATGATTGGACACACGGCATGTTAAAACAAAAAACTATTTGGACTACTTTTATTAACAGCCACGCCTAGAAATAGTAAGTGCAGAAAAAAATAATAGTATTGGAACCGTGTTCAGCGTATTCTGTCACATAATCTTTATTTCCTTTAGTCGTCTTCTATGTTTCAACACATCTGGCTCTTAGCACGAGTCTTAGGACGAAACAGATGTATGACGCAATTTAATTTTTGACACTACTTTATCGTCTCAAGTGTCATTCGTACAGTTCTTGCGGGGGTTTTTTTACACAGAGGTCACCAACATTGTACTAGATCTTTCGATTAAAATTTATGATCTTATGGGGATTTGAAATCTTCCTTTTCATCATTCTTAATCATGACTTCACGGGCATTTCCTTACTTTTAGATTTTGAAAAATAAAATATTTTCAACTATATACGAGATATGACGACTGTGAAAAATTTTCTGCTCTTGTTTCAAATTCGCCAATACTGGAAAAATTAATCGCAAATAAAACTGCAATGTAACGTTTGTAAACTCATAAATATTTAATGTTTAGTACACCTGTGCTGATATAAATACACAAAATCACTTAGGTGAAATGTAAATGAAAACTAAAGAAATTTTAAGTGACGCTGTTTGCAACATTAATCATATTTTTACGTGAAATGCAACAATGTAAGTTTGATTTTATTACTGTGAATTTTTCATTAAAATTGATGGTAACTTTCAATTGAAAAGTAGAATTAGATGCAGTGAAGCCAAGAATTCAAGTGCACAACAAGGCGGTGTCTTTCTTCTAGGACTCTTCAGTGTTGTTAGGGGCCTTCAATGTAAAACTCTATGAGTACATAAAAGGGAATGAAAAACAGGCAAATGAAGATTGCCCAGTCTAAGTGTCAAAATATTGATTTCAAATTCATAAGCAAAATTAAAATTTTCCATACAGGATAAGTTCAAAGTTTATCAGGAAACATGCGTGATGGGGATGTATGAGTAGCCGAAGAAACTAAACCGAAGGATCGAACCCAGGCCGTCTTCGTAAAAGAACAACTTCGTTTCTCTGTCACCATGCTTTACGCAGTTCCTTCATGTTCTAATCCAATGAACATAATATACATGAATGTAGTTTTTTCTGGAGAAATGTCATCGTGGTTTTATATAGATATACGTGCATTCTTATCTCGACCAATCCCAGAGCAAGATGATAGCACAAAATAACCGATAAACTGCGAGGGGTCCCTTGCTTGCGAGATGACCAGACAACGCAAATATCGAAGGAGGCGTGATTCATCCAAGAGTTCGGCAACTACGTACTCGCATCTGTTTCTCTTATAACACACTGCACACACAGACGGCTCGACACGTGTACCTACATTACAGAACCAAGATGTGTCTGCCAGGCAGTACATGCACGTGCATTTATCAATAACATCATTAGGATAATGTTATGTGTTCTTTATGATACAAAATTACTGAAGTTTAATAAACCAACACTTTTTTTTAACTTAATCAAATTTCTTATTCTCTGGAATTTGTTAGATGAAGGGATTTCGGGTTGAGAAAAACTGAGTCCTTAACCAATTATAGTAGATGAAGTGTGTCGATCTCTACATTAACAGACGTATAAACCTGTCTGTTTTGTATAAACGAGTTAAAATGTCTGAGTTCTGATGTATAGACGATAATAGATATGTATGAAATGTTATATGTGTAGAACACCCGACCAGAGTTTCAACACTATGCATGTTTACTTTGTATGTATTGATATCAGCAGGAAATACATGGCCGCATGGTGTACCTAGTATATATATTGTGTATACGTATCAAATAAATGCATGATTACTTACCAGCGGACGAAGGCGCATACCGGAACTTTGAAAACAGTATCCCCATGTCTTAAAGTTATAATTTTCAAGCAGATCTTTTCACACAAATGTCTCACAAATGTTCAACTGATGAAATTCTGTTAAGTCTACACAGCACGAGTAATGGGTATGATTAACGCTGCAATTATTCCCGTGCTTAATGGAGAAGGGAAGATAATTCAAAAGCCTTGCTGTAGTCTGTATGCTGCCAGCAAAATGTCTGCTTCCTCCGATCAGTATTTTGTTTAGTCACCATATGTGTATATACGTAGGAAGATTATACTTGTAATGCATGTAAATTTTAACGTAAAACAACGATGAACTTAACACAGGTAGATCTCAGTACATTTCCGTGTGGGATATATTTCAACAATGACTTTTTTATATTTATTTTTGTTCGGCTGATTTGGATTTCCTTGCATGTGTCACCAACTAATTGCCTGCAGAACTGTCTGATAGCGTCAGATCAATATAACACAGGTAAGGCTATGGAAACCCATTACGTAATGTATACACTTTTAAGTAACTACTTAATATCTGCCACGACTAGTTTTTTGTATTAATCTATGTAACATGTACATGTACAGCATGAGAAAAGCTGCTTTCAGCTTATTACATTGATCAATGCATCCTTCCCAGCATACGATAAATTTGTAAGCTTTTCACGTACATATTTTATATGACATGTCCCATAAAAATATTTTAACAAAACGGCTATCTTTACAATTCATCAGAAAAAGTTTTGCTTGAAAAAACATCACATGCTTATTTAATTTATCCCCGTGACGATAATGTCAACATGACATTTCCCTTCAAAAAAGGCCTACATTTCTGTGGCCCTGAAATGTTTTTGTGGTAATTCTAGAAAAACGTATTAGTTTTCTAGTTTAATTCACACGTGATGTATCAGGAAAAAATCTTATACAAACGCGATTTATTTGTGCACAGATGACCATAACTTAAAATATTGACCAATCAGAACGGCGATTTCCATTCGTTTCAATGAAATGTGGAATCACGTGAAGTGATATCGAATCGTTCACTTACTATGAAAAGGTAAGGGGTCACCTACCCGACCACGTGGGTTTTCCCCGGGTACTCCGGTTTCCTCCCACAATAAGACCCCTCGCGCGCTTATATCCGGGCCAACAAGAGTGATTAGTATAAGTTGACATAACTTGTTTCGCAATTGTTGTAAAATAAATAAAGTTTATATTTATATACTATGAATTTCATTTCGTCATATCTTATTACAGTTTGTAAATAATAAGTGACGAAGGATACTTGAAAATAGGTAGAATTGTGAAGAGCTGTCACTAGAAAACGATGCTGCCTTGTTGTCAAGCGTTACGTCGTTATAGTACAACACAAAATATTACTAACACTACTCATCCCAATGCTGTTTAGTGTATATCGTAACTGTTGCTATGTGAAGATAAGAAAATCAATAATTGTCCTTAAAATGTCACATATATTATATCAAATTTATATGGGAGAATACTTTTCATTCAAATATTCGTGAAAATAGAAATAATGGAACTTCAACGTAAACCATTACATATCTTCTATACAAAATCGAGGTGAAGTTTTTTTTTTTTTTTTTTTTTTTTTTTTCCTTAATGGTTCTCAAAAACAATGAAAAACATAACTAAAATCACATCATTTACGAGCATGATGGATGCTACATAGCCTATCCGTAATATGTCCATATGGACAACGGAAATGGAGGGGTCGGTGGGGGTGAAACATACCTTCACTCGGTTCTGCTACATCAGATTGGCTCTCTTTCCTCGCCATCATGCTCTTCAAATAAGACACCTCGGGAAGGCGTTTGACAGCAGCTTCAAGAGACAAGAAAACACAATATGATTTATAAATGGTAAAAAGAGCATTGGTAAATCGTCGTGAATTTTACGTTGATTGATAAAACTAACGATGTTTGGGAAAACTTAAAATACAAGTTAAATTGAATGAGGTTAAAACACCGAAACATTTTCATCAAAACGACGCATTGATTTCCATTCATATCAAAATCTAATCTCATAATTCATTTTCACGCTCATTTTTCAAAGAAAATATCCATGAATGATGATCTATGAAACCTTAACATGTGTATTGAAGGCTTGCATACTATTTAATCAATTAACAACGAGAGTGAAATAGAAAAAAAAAATATTACATATACATAAGGTCTGCATTAACATTCATTTCTAATAGAAAATTGAAAACTCATTCCAATCATATTTTGTACATATTCTAAGGTAGGTAGGTAAATTCCAGGTCAAATTACATTCTTAAAACATAAACTTAATCATTTAAGATTTATCTTATTAAATAAGGTCAACACGGCAGTCAAGATAGGAAAGTGCTTTGTCCGTCTTTCTCTTTGTTTTCAGTACAGGTTGACTAGACTGGTCCCGTTCTCAAATTAGACTATAAATTTCACAGGAGGGGAAGATAAGCTAGTCTGGTAAAAAAAGGCTGTGGACATTTCTCCACAAAACTGATGGCCAGAACACATGTTGGCGTATAAAGAAAAGTAGAAATGGGCAGACGACAATCTTTGACTTCAGAGGAAAATAAATCAAATACAGGCATTTGTCTGATTTTACACAACAAAGAAGTGGAGCAGACATGCCTATAAGGAAAAAAAACCTTTAAATTGGTAATCATTGACGTCCAGATAAGCGGACAGTTAAAAACATTGAGAATTCTACTACACTCACTGAGTCAGATGACTGATTGTATAAAGCTTGGTAAACCTCGAGGTCACCATCACAAAACAAACGCAGTGTGATCAACTGCTAGCTGGGTATAAAGATGGCCGAAGTTTGAATTATCTACTTCTGTTCAATAATCAATTATATTTCTTTCTGCATTGAGGAAAAAAATAGTCATTAAAATAACATGAAATTGTAAAATCAAACATGTCCATCTTTAAAAATCCCCATGCGAAAAACATGAATGCAAATAAAAAAAAACAGAATTGGACTTGTTCTGAACACGGACAACATCGACCATTGTGCTTAATCTTCAATTCAGATAAAGGGAAGAAAACCGGAAGCAAACACGTGGGTGATTGGTTAGGTGAAATTATCATCGAGTAAGTAAAGGTATTGGAGGTGAAAAAAAATCTAAGCTGAATGGCTGATTTGTTTTACACAAATTTCTGTTATCAGCTTTATATATTACGCTCTCTTGTTATAACGGTGGAATTTATGTACTTACTATCAAAGTGGCCGTAGTTATTATAACGATAAATTTCTTCTGTTAGCTTTAGTGTTTGGAGATTTACTATATCATGGATAGAAATATTTACAGGGTAGTTAGGATATATAACTACATCTATTTAGAAAATTATTAGCAGTTAAGATAAACAATTGCAGGAAGTACATGTGTACCTATATTCAGAAGAAATATTGTGGCAAAACGCTTTATAAGTATGGGTCAGCGGGTACGTTCTATACCAAAGATTTTGATGATACAAGGGAGCTAATCCCTATCTACCGTATGTCTAATACGGGTGCAGTAAGAGGGTCGTTTATTGTGGTTAGCTGTAGTGTGTACGGTTAAAAATGGGAATTCCACTTAGCACAGGCACTCAAAAGGATTATGTTCCAATTATCTTATAAAATAAAATCTAACAAACTATTTGAAATATGTGCCATGTGACCAAAATTACCTATCCAAATTTATGGTCGCCCCAGACGAAGTACAATTGACAACTACAAATGTGATTATGTGTCATTATCTTGTCTCCTGACAAAGTTGGATTTTTAACCCAGTACAAGACTGTGAATTACCTTTAAGATAGTTACTGGTTTTTTTTTTTTTTTTTCCGTTATTATTATTTTTGTTTATAATAACATTCGTGTCCTACCATTTCTCTCGACTATCTTGGCCTCCAAATACACAGCTGCATATTCGTAAATGGATTCTGGACGACTTCCAATGACACTCCGGGCCAGAGATTCCATATAGTACTGGAAGCCTGGCGGCAGCTTTCGCCGCCAGTACAGCTTCTCAGCTGTTGTCATATTTTCTTTCGGCTCTGAAATAATGGGAATGGGAAAAATAAAGAATGATAAGTAGAGAATGCATAATATTTCATGACATTTTTTTCCAATTTTCACAATAAACTCATCATATAATACTAGTAAGGAAAGGGACACGTGATAATTAAGGAAAGGGGTGGGGAGGACTTGACAATGTCGATGAGGCTATAGATTCTAAATAATAATAATAATGAACTTTATTTTCTGAGGATTACATATTTAGCCAACGGCTAATCTTCCATATGATAATTAAGATAACATTTCATATGAATTTACAGCATATTTTCTATAGAATTTCGGTCTTTTTTTACATTTCTTGACAGAGATCGATTTTCCTGATGTAATAAAATTATATGCACCACTTAAACATTTTTATCACCAATGAAATTGAACAAGTGGCCAGCTTCTGGAGAGCCACTTTTGTATTTCTGTCTCGAGCCAAAATGCAGCTTATATTTTAAGACACTGACCATGTACAATATTCTGTTTATCCTGCAACATTGAAAACAAATTCAGACTATCTGAACTTCAGCAGTTTGATGTTCAATTTTTTTTGCATGACTCTGACGTTACGCTGAATTTTGCCTGGTGACGCACGCCAAAATATCTGCTCCGCGCTAAGTATAGATCCAAATTTAACGGAAAAACAACAACTTATGAATTTTCTTAAATAAACTTGTTCTTTACGACATAGCGAATCGCTTATCGTATTAGATGTCTGATTAATTAGATATTAATATTTCATGCGAAATTTTAACGAAATTCAGAAAGTAGCTCTGTCCAAGTTTTCCATCATTGCCAAATACAGCAAAAATAAAATAAATTTTAAATTCTCTGAATTGTCTGAAAAAAAATTGCTATCTTTTGAACTGACCTTATATTTTAAAAAAAAACAACAAATATCCAATCTTGAATTAGGAAATGGGACAGTAAATCAGTAACAGCGGACGACGGTAAAATCCAGGGGGTTTGATAGAGTCTTCGTTAGAGTATTAATAATGATAACGGTTCGATAAAAATACCCAGCGAGCTATTCTATCATGGTGTATCTAAACGAAAAATGATATATTATGAGAGAGGTCAGACTCCCATAGTTTACAAAGGAGCTGGACAGAACATCAAACTCGAGGCGTTAAAGATTATACACGAAGATACGGGGAGAAACGATTGCAGAAATTTCTTTCATTTTGAAAAGGGAAGCAAATGTCAATCAACATCAGACCAGTAAGCCTCTTTAACATAGTAGTAAAATGATAAGTCACTAATTTGGGATTGTATTAAGGACCGGTGACAGGGAGAAATAATTTCTTCGGAATTCATCGAGTTATTCACCAGATCTTGGGTGGCATAGCATGATTACCAGGTAGATATCTTAAATTTACTATAAAATAAACAAATAAATAAATAAATAAAATAATACAATTTTGACACTGCCTCACATAATGGACTCGTCAGGGAATTAAAATCAGTTGGGATGCAATAGGGTGAATAACACAATTCCTAAAAATGGGGCGAAACTGGAGATTGAGTGCCCAGTCGATTCATTATTGGGGTACGAGTACAAAATTCAAGAAAGCTTTGAGACACTTCACTACAGACAGGCTTTAATTAAAATTATAAGATTGCATCCATCTGGTCCATTAGCCCGGTTAGTTCTAAGTAATTGTACTTTTGATCTCTGTCAAGTTCCATAATGAAATTGCGGATGGCAGATATTCCAAGTAACAAATCAGAATTCTACTGGATCTTAAAATTCAGTACGTAAGGAAACTTACGAAACGTTCCTCAGTCAAAAATATTAAGAACAAAATATTCATAATGTTTTGTAACATTACTTTCAGGTAAACACTTCAGAAAATATAATGTGATATGATACTCATGCCATAGACGTTAATTAAACGTTGCTTAAATCATATTACATTTTGCTTCGTAAGAGAAAATATCTTCATTTTTAAAAATACAATCTTCCATCGGGATAAAAATCCGTTCAGGAACGAAACCGATGAGTCACTGTGACATGCGATTGTAGCATTAATGTTTTCTTTTTTCGATAAATAAAAAAAAATGCACATTACATACATTACCCTTGATCGCAGTGGCTTCTATTCTTTCGGGAAAAAAAGTGGAGGTCCCCGTCCCTAATCCCGGCAAACTGTCTTTCCTTTTAACATCCCATCTCAAAATTGAAAAACGATGAAAAACAAACTTCCTGTTGCTGTTGCCATGGTGTGGTTCATTAACGATGACGTCACAATTTAATTAAGAAATATATAAAAAAAAATACATAGCTTTGTTATTTTAATAACCAGTTCGTTGCTATTATCTTTTACCAGATAATGGCCATAGCAGTATTATTATTCACGCAAGGTTATGATGGGCAGCTGGAATCTATTTTAACCAACCAATGTGTATTCGTTATTTACTCCGTGATATACGGCGTTGTGACTTCCGCTTCATAGTTGTTGATCGAAAGTAAACAGAGCAACAACTAGGGAACTGACGAGAAACAAGAGTAGCGTTATTTATTGTGAAAATTCTGCGATCTTTCAGTTGAGACTGGTGAGTTTTTATCAATTCATTTTGAACAGTTCTTGATTCGTGACAATTTTTTTCTCCAAATATGAGCAATAAGAGGCCGGCTTCACACATGACATGTGCGTGAAAGTTCATCGGTCCTTGTCCTAATTTTCACGCGGGTCTTAGCTTGTGAATTTATGACCATGAAGCTATTAATATTTGTCTACGTGATTCAGTACTTATTTTATTAATTAGTTTTTTTCTTTATTTCGATTTGCAATTAGATATTGTATTAGTGAATAGTGAGTGACCCAAGCCCAAGGTCCTTTTCACCTTTGAACTTAACAGTAAGGAAGGCGTTCCGCTAATTTTTGATAACTTATTTTCAGCATACTCTGAGAATTCTTTTTCTGTAGTGAAAATACGTATTAGAACGAAATTTGAAAAAATCCATTCAAAGTTTACCTTCAAAATATTGAGAATATATTAAAATAGAGCTATGTATAATAGTCATGTTAATCGACATCAAATTCAACTGTTCTAATTGATCATTTACAATTACATGCAAGCTTAGAGAAACTGAAAAGATATTTTATATGTGAATTGAACATAGGTTAAATATGTATACATTCTTAGTCACTCAGCTGAGGGAGCATGCATGCTTCTTTGTCTAAGTTGGTAGAGTCATGGAGACCCAGATTTGTTTCCTGTCTGGGTACTGGGCAGAACATGTTTTTTCCATGATTGTTAAACGAGTATGCAGAGTTGGATAAGGAAAAATACAAAAATGTACTAAGAAGGTAGAAAATCAGAGTGAAATAATGGTACTGGATGTGAATAAATAAATAGATATATATGTGGGCCATGAAGTAAGGAAGTGGAGAAATACATTGTCAAATTTTCATAGGAATCAACTCCTTTGTTCAGACTTGGAATATTACAAAAGATACATCACATCCATAGAATGTAAAACAAAAGTAAATACAACAGGCTACAGTTTTTATGCATATACAGTGTATATTTGTATATTGAAGTAAGATCTGATAAAAATCATCTGTCTGTGATACTGATTCTGGTGAAAAATGAGTCCAGATTTAAAAACCATGACCTTGATTGATTTTAGGTAACATTTGTAATAGGAAGGAATAAATGAAAATCTAACTATCACTAGGCTTGGCTTAGGAGAAATTCCCATTAGCCTTAGTATGTTGTATAAGGTAGTCTAAACTTTTTAATTTCTTATTACAGTAAAACACTTATCTTGAATCAGAAGTCAAAAAAACACAAATTAAGTTAACAGTTCATTTCATTTCTTAGAAATAATATTACCATGTATGTGCTTTTACTTGTTCTAGATTTTGTGAATTACACTGAATTTATTATTCCTGCTGACTATTTAGAAGACTCAAAATTACTGTAATGCTTATTTTGAATGAAGTTTTATACATCCTCCGTACGTAACAAGAGTGAGGGTTATTATAATTGTATTTTTTAATTACCATACCATATTTTATTTAAAACTTCTTAATCACAAATTCACATACAAAAGAAGGTCACAGTGACATTTTGAATTAAAGTCTTATTCACTGACTTAATCAGCCTGTGTGATTTAAAAAAACAGTTCTGTTGAAAAAAGAATAAATAATTTTTAGCTTTTTGATTTACAAATAATGGCATATATACATTAAATTTTGATATTACCTTTCTGATTAAACAAAAAAAATAGCTTCAAACATCAGATAAATACCAAATTCCACAATTAAAACGCTATTGATATTGTTAGTAGGACCACGCAATGGATCAGTTACACATTTTTTTATCAATTCATTTTGAAATAGACCTCATAACTACAGTGCATCCTAGGTCCCTTCAGATTTATCAACAGTGAAATCGTGTGAACAAATCTGAATTATGTAAGTACATCTGACATGTAACAGATAGTACATATATCTGTCCAATGTACAACATGTTATGTACAGAACGTGGACAATGTTTGATTGTAGAGTGATAATGTAATGAATAGATATCTTTATCAAACACCTCAACAAGGGAAAGCATCATATAGGAATGAGAATTAAATTTATTGTAAATTTTGGTAATATATCTTGTTACTTTCCTTTTCAGCTGCAGTAGCAGTGTTGTGTAGCTGTGCTCTACTGATGACAGTGAAAATTTAACTACCAGTTAACTCCACTCACCATGGCAGGGTCTATATTAACCGCCCTGTGTTACTGCTTCATGTGGAGTACAATGTATTTCACACTGTGCCTCATTAATTCAAAGAAAAGCTACGAGTGGCACTGTCGCACTGTGACGGCCATTCATGCTGCTGTGGTCACAGTATTGAGTGGTTGGTGCGGATTTGTCCAGGGTCCATGGCCTTTCACACATGCAGGTATGTATGGTTCATTCTAGTTCATGATGGAAATCAATCACTTCATGTTTTATAATTGATAATTGATTACACATAAACAATTGATAATCAGTTTCATGTGTTAAAATTATTTCAATAGCTCTGGTTGTTTGTTTCTTACTTTCAAATTTTTTAAAATACTGAAATAAACATTTTTAGAAAATTTGAATCTGTTAAGAGGTGACTTTAAAGCCTTTCAAAACTACTATTTGTCAATTACGTCTTTATTAATAACTTTACTTACAGAATTGCGTTTGGTTTCTCAATTTCTACGATATCTGAATCATACTTGTACTTTTCTGATTAACATTCTCTGCAATATTAGCATCAATTAATTTGTTTTGTTTTATAATCATTTACTTTTTTTCTTATCTTTTTATATCATTGGCCCATCACTTAGTATTTATTGAAGGAAAGTGAATTTTTTTATGATGAATTATAGACGTTTATTTATTAAGAAATTACAAACCTGAAGGCCTGAATTTTTTTAAGTTTTCATTTCTCATTGTGATAAGGGAATGCTGTACCACTCAATAGTTGGTAGATATTTATGCTGGACTGTACTTTCTGACATCAGGGCTTCACCTGTTGGGACAGATACAATAATATCAGTATTTGATATGATTTACATGGCACACTAGAAGTAAAAGTCATAAAAGAATTATTCTAAGAAGGGAAAAAAATGTGTTCACCATCACTTGACCATTCCTAATATTACATACTCAGGGTTTTCCATAAGAGCCGGTCGCCGGCCAATTTGACCGGCTACTTTGATCATTTGGCCGCCTACACCAATCCAGTTCCGTAATAATGTTCCGTACACGACTACACGTACACGGCTGGTTAGCCTCCTACTTTCACTACACAGCCTACTGCTAACAAAATTATGGAAAACCCTGCATACTACCATAGAACCTACTAAATAATTGGGATATCGGAATCATTAAATTTTTGAGAGAAAAAAAATTGCATTTATTTTTTAAACATCGGCAATTTCGACATATATATATATATTGACCTATTGGTTCACTATTCCGATTGTTGTCTTTTAAAAGTGTATTTCATAAACTGTGAAATGGCATGTTCTTATCTTTATAGGTGGGCCAAGTACACCTCTTCAGCTGTTCACCACAGAGATCTGTCTGGGATACTTCTTATTTGATTTCACCTGGTGTGTTTATTTCCGCTCTGAGGGTGAGTTTTATTTACCTTTCATTGAAATGTAACATTTGATGTTATTTTCAATTTTTAAAAATTTGAATGACCTACACCGTGATTCCTATTTCATAATTGAATAGACACGATCCACCAATTATGCAGTTGTAAGTTTCTGGATTTACTGTAAAATAGTTACAGTTGTTTGTTTCTAGGCTTGCATACCTTTAGAATTATTTTGCTATGTAGAGTGATGTCCCTTTGTTGTGCTGTTGTAGGAGCAGTAATGCTACTTCACCACACTGTCAGTATAATTGGACTGACCTTTTCCATTATTTTGGGACATTATGGAACGGAAATGATAGCCGCAATCTTTGGGAGCGAGGCTACCAATCCGCTATTACAGATGCGATGGTTTCTGAAGGAATCTGGGAAATACAACACCTTATTAGGAGAGATTGTAGACCATGCTTTTGTATTATTGTTTGGTTTTCTACGAATAGGAATCGGGTCTTATTTATTGTATTGTTACTTCCAACAAGATACCGACTTCCTCGGACGTCTGTCTGGCATCGTCCTCTATGCAATCAGCTGGTTGTTTTGGATAAGTATCATGCAGTATGGTATTCGTAAGTATCGAAAGAAGTTCCGAAAATGGGCTGAAATTAAAGATGCCAAAAAAAATGAAACAAATGAATCAAAGTCATTGAAAGTGAATGAACAAAATGAGTTAACCAATGGTGGCCTTTGTAACAATAAGACAGCCAATGACGGCCTTTCTATCAAATCCTTATCTCAGACCAAGTCCAATGGAGATTTGAACTTCAACGTCACTGATCACAGAACTGAAGTTGTCGCTAATGGTGAGATAGTTACTGCAAATGATGGCGCTGGATTGTGTGACAACTCACAAATGAACGGGGAACTACATAGAAGGAGACCAGCTAGTCAGTCATAAATCTGTTACCATTGTAATGTGTGCAATGTGGATTTTTGCTCATTTTATTTTGATATTGTCAATGGTCGTGCAGTATATAACATTTAGACTTAATTACCAAATCTATTGGACAATCAACCCATTTCTGGTAATAAGCCCACCCTCGTCTATTGTAGTTCAGTGTTGTATGTAAATTCTAACAGATTACATTATTCTACAATAAGCCCACCCCCTTCCCTGGATCAGAGTTTTTTCGTGTTGATTCTTAGGCTTGTTGCAGAATAAATACTGTATCTTATTTTGTAAAATTTTTTTCCGTTATCACCTTATATATATATATATATATATATATATATATAATATGCTATTTATTATATTACACTTTGAAGTATTTTTGAGTTTTGCACAAATTTTTTTTTTGAAAATGACTATTTCCATATCGTTTAAATATATATATAGTGATGATAATTTAGAATCCAATGTGCCTGTTTAAATTTCATTGATTTGTGAATATTGAAATTGTACTAGGTATGATATGATCAAAATGAGTGTTTGTGTCCCATGCTTAACAAAATTTTGAACATTGAACAAAACCAACGGATTCTATATTTTTACGCGGTTGTGTTGATAGGGATATCTTAAACGGAGTTGAGCTACTAAGCACAAGCTTGTCATGCAAGACTTTTCAGGGCTCTCGATCTGCCAGATTTGGGGTCGATATTCGGCCCCATTCCCAATGCAAAAAGTATCTTTTTTTCCCAATTTAGACCCCAAGTTTACCCAATTCTAAGGAAAATGCTGCTATTTTTCCCAATTCTATGGGCTCCGGGCCCCAGTCCCAAAATGGGATGTGAGAGCCCTGCTTTTACATGAGGGTTTAGGTATTGTTGTCCAGGAAACAGACCCACGCTTTATTTTCTCACAAAATTAATGGAATATTCCACCCAAGTTGTAAAATTTCTAGAGGTTCTGTACCTTTTAAGACAGGCAAAATGTCAGGGAATAGTCGCAGCCAATGGAAATTTAACAGTCTAAATATAGTGTATCGGAAAATCGGGAACTCAAAGATCATTGGATCATAGGTTTGTATGATTTTATGACTTCATTAGGTTTATTTTCTGTTGAATTTATAATTTCCGCAAATATTTCACTGTTTGGCCAATAACCACACAAACTTTTTATGATGCAATCAGGGTCACTCAAACGTTTGTAAATCACTAGAGCTAGATCTAGATCAATTAAGAATATGCACAAATTTAATTATCATATGATTATAAAAGTGTTAAATTGATTTCCATAGGAACATAATTAGATAATTTTGTACAAATTTCATCAAAAGCATCTTATGAAATCCTAACTTGTGGGGAATATTCCTTAAAAAAAACAAAAGTAACAAATTATAAGTTGTTGTGAAACTTACAAGTTTTGTCATCGTCAGTGTAATGTTTTGTGTGTTGGAGTAATGGCATTCTGGATTAGAGGCATAGTCACGCTGTGTAAACTTATGACACTACCCTATTGTGAGTAGTGTCATACTGCATGCTGGCTTTGTTTCCCTAACCTGTGTTAGATATTTCATTCCGTCTTTAACAACCACAGGATTACCCTCTGAAGTATGTGAGGATAGAAATTGTCCATTAGAAATGTTGTGAATATCAAAAATACAAAAAGTAAAACTGAAATATTGAGTCAAACTCAATATTCAAACAAGAAATTTATATGAACCTTTGTTTCAAATTCAGTATTAAATATACTGTATGTGTTCCGTTTCATTCAACAATAAGCCAATTTGTGGTCATAAGCTAACCCACATATGTACAGATTTTGTTTTTTCTGATGAAATGTCAAAATAATATAATATTGCCTTATGTGATCACCACACCTATTTAAGAAATCTGAAACGATTGCAGACAATTCTAATTCTAACAGTGTTTGTGAATTCTTGAAATACGAGAGACACATTGTTAGGATATTTAGCTAGTCTACAGGAAAATTTAGAAGTATATTTATCTTCAATATTCACCAAATGTAAGTCAAGCCAATGTGTGGCTATAGATTGCTAATAAGCATATAGAATTTTTAAATGCTTTTTTTTTCATATTCTTTATTGTAATCCATCATTTTTGAGTTGGTGTAAAACTCTGTCTGACAGACATATCTGGTACAAATATATATGTATTCAGACATGTGGCATCTTGTTGAAATTTTGGAAGTCCTTTTTGGTCTAGCAATCCCTTTACTCCAACCATGTTAGGTGTTTTTACAGGGAAAAACTTATTACAGGATCTTTGACAGGCGCAGTGAGCACACAACATCGTCAGATCATAAATTGACCTACCAACAGCCTTTTGTGTTAACAGAATTGTTATCCCTAGAAAAGTGCCCTCGAATATGTTGTATTAGATGACAGGTATTCTTGTTCTTAACAGGTTGAATTTCTAAGGATTCTTAATCCGGTTCACTCCTGTTAAACTTTAAAACTCTTCGCCTCCTGTTGTATTTATCATATATCACATAAGAATATCATTGCATAATTATTGTATTTTTATATCTTTTTTCATAATTGTTTAAATGCCAAAATATTTCTATTAAAAATGAACGGACAAAGTCATATAAATATGTATCACTTGGCCAAAAAAAATTTGAATAATTTTGATATAGGTTACTGATGGAATCTAACAACGTACTTTCAATGTAGCATTTTACGACAGGAAACATTTGCCCAGTTTTTTTTCCCTCACATAAAACTTTATTTTCACCCTAAATTACACACAAATTTTTTGAAATAAATTTGTAGTTAGGCATTATTTCATTCCAGTGGAGTAAAATAGCAAAGATTTACCTGTGTACTCTGGCACAATATAGTGTTCGTTTCTGTAGGAAATAGAAAATATCTTAATAATAGTGAACTTTACGATTGTTAACGGGATATTCTGCACAACTTATGATTTCATTTGATGTTTTTTTTGTTAAAATAAAGAATATGAAAGGTACTTAAAGAAATTGGACATCTCAGTTCACCATATCAACAACAAAATCATATGATATTTGATTTATTGTGTTTAATTCTGTATAAATCTAGCTTGATCCATTTACAAACATTCGCTAAACCTTGATAAAATCATAACAGGTGTGCATGTCATAAGTCAAACAGTGTGAAAGATTATGGTATGATTTGCAATTGACAAGAAATAAGCCACAAGCAGACATTATCAATGAACGAAATGCAGACTTGTATATTAACCCATTACATCACATAAAATCTGTAAACCAGTTTGTGGCCGACTTTTGGATTCCCCAATGTGCTTTCTTTATACAGTGTGAATTTGTATCGTAGGAGCATCGCTTTGGCCTGATATTGACGAGACATCACTTTCGTCTGTCCATACTAACCCGAGGAAATATATTTCGATGCTGACAGCAGTTTCAAAAGTCATCACAAAAAGAGTTCTTATTAGGTATAAAGCAGACAGGAATTTTCCAACTTGTGCAGAATATCCCATTAATATAGGCCTTTATGTTAGTGCTTTGTATAGTACATGATACGATTACAAAATTTTATTTAAAGAGAATCCATATTTTTCCATTGCAACAACAAAAGGTGTGAAAGGGATCTACAGAAATATCCCCCACCCTCACCCATGGAGCTGTAAATTTTTTCCTGAAATCTTAGATTTGATAGTTATCTCCCTTTATATGAGCCCAGTAAATACATAGTTTATTATAGAACAAGAACACACGGTATATTACTTTATATATATCCATTAATTACAGATACTTGAAAATCAAACAATTTTTTTTCATTTTCGGGCAGTATTTTTTAAGGGCATGGGCGGGGTTTAGTACTGGACCATGCAGTGAAAAAAAGTAAACAACAATTTTACTGATTTAAACATGTTGATCCTGAGCTTTGCCACAAAAGAGGAGATGATAGTGTACAGATGGAGGAATGTTTAGTTTGAATATGATGTGTTGAGTTTAACTTTTAATAGAAAAAGTAGAGTGAATGTTGTAAGCATTTGTATCCGAAGTAATAGATTACAGATTGATAATCTTTATTTCATTCAGGGTATTAGTGTAGACCTGTGTTCTCACATGTTTCTTACATTCCAGGCAGACTGCAGTTAATGAAATCCTTATTAGAGTTATTCAGCAGCAAGTTAGAAATGTCGGTCGCTGAAAAAATGGGAAAATTAATGTTGACGATGAATTTACCTTTCCTGACAAATCTAAAGCTCTGAAATGATCAGAATTGTTTTTAGTTTTGTTTTATTCAGAATTTGAAAATTTTCACTAACCACTGGTCTAACCAGGATTTTAACCAGCTGCAGTCAAGCCCTGGTTTTACAAAGAATAGATAGAGATAACTAGTGCATAGAGAAAATTTTCAACCATGAATTGAAGGAAATTGAAAATATTTTTTATCATTTCACAGATGTAGGTCTGTTGAGACAAATTAGAATTTTTTTTAGTGTTAATTTTGCTGTGCTCTTATACTTTTTGCGGCAATAATTTCTATTTTTTCAATAACTGCTCGTTAACTTTATTTTTCAGCAACTGGAGTCAGATATCTTAAAAATTTACTCATCAGCCGTGGAAATCGTTGATGTTAGAAAGTAATCTTTTTGTAGTCTCTAAAAAATCTAAATTACCAAAACGATTACAGTTTTACCGTAATTGTTTATATAAATATATAAGTATTTTAAATCTGTTGGAAAGATGCTTTATCCTCATTGCTCCAGATAGCATGTGATGGACCTCCTGTATGTTGTTCAGTGGGGTAGACACCAGTTACTTCAAAGAGATCTGCCTCAAAATGACACTGGCTGTTCACAGGACAGCAAACAAAGTATTTTATATGATATTCAATGAAATGAAATTTACGATATAAATCTATACGAGTGATATTTCATTTACATATATTTATTGCTGTTGTGATGTTTACATATTTTGTTTAACTATATCAGATTGTGACAATGGAAAAAAAATTAACATCCTTTAAGACAAAATAACAATAAAAAGTACAATTTGGATTTTGTTAATTAATAATTATGAAACATTGAATTTTTTAATTAGCTCCACATTGCATAAGCTTTCTTTCTGTTTTAAGTGTATAGGCTGTCATGAGAAAACATAGAATTTAATTATATAACCATCCAAATACATTTCAGATTAAGAATTTCACCCAAAGTTTACTGTTAACTGGACTTTGTGAAATAGAATTAAGCTCATCATAGCTTTAAAAGATACAATGATTATATCTCTGTGTATAAAACAAAAAACTGTCATGATTAAGGACTGTACCAGTAAAACATCTACTCCACACCAGGTTTTAATTAAGGGAATGATCCATATCAAGAATTAAATTGATAATTTTCTTTGAAGTAATAGGCAGTAAACCAAATCATGTATGCAATTTTTTTTTTAATTTTGGGATCAAGTAGATGTTTTACTGGAATAGTCTTTTTACTTTTATGATGTACACTTTCCTCTACCTATTCCTTAACATTCAATGAAAAGGAATTTTTTCTTCACTAAATAAACATGTAATTGTGAAAATTTATAATTTCTTTTAAAATGCTTAATTACCTTCAGTTGTGTGTGGTGCAAATTAACCATTGGTCAATGTGGAGACAAGGTCTCAAACTATTTATAGATTGTGTTTGTTGAATGTTAAAACCCATGGCATTTAAATTACTTTAAATATCTGTAGGGTAAGTGATTGTGAACCTTGGCTATTTCAAGGATGTGAAGATATTTCTTTATGTGAGATATTGAATTCAAGAGATTTTATGTCCTACCTATTAAACATTAGATGTAGACTGTAAGGGAGAGATAATTTCATTATTTCTGATCCATCAAGTACCTTAGCATTAGACCTGTGTTCATCTCTACTGTGATGTTTTAATTCATTTACATAAACATAAAATTATTTTCTATCAAATCGTATATTCTGTATATGTTTTCTTTATATTATTTTCATAAATACAAGAGTTGATGATCTAACATTACATATGTGTTGTCTTTATTCTTTTGCTTCAGTCATGTTGATTATCTCCCTTGTAGCTATGCTGCTGAGAGCTCTGGTCTCAAGAGTATTGCTTCTAAATACAGTGAAAGGAATTCTGCATGGAAAGGAGTTAGCTCATTACCTATTAAGATGGAGTTTGCCCTGCGAGAACTTAGTTCATTACCTATTAAGATGGAGTTTGCCCTGCGAGAACTTAGTTCATTACCTATTAAGATGGAGTTTGCCCTGCGAGAACTTAGTTCATTACCTATTAAGATGGAGTTTGCCCTGCGAGAACTTAGTTCATTACCTATTAAGATGGAGTTTGCCCTGCGAGAACTTAGTTCATTACCTATTAAGGTGGAGTTTTCCCTGCGAGAACTTAGTTCATTACCTATAATGGTGGAATTTTCCCTGCGAGAACTTACATCATTACCTATTAAGATGAAGTTTTCCCTGCGAGAACTTACCTCATTACCTATTAAGATGATATAGTCGTACCTTGATATTTCAAAGTCAACAGGGCTACAGGGAAACTGAGATATCCGAGAATTTAAGTAAGTTAAGTTACACAACACTGAGATAACAAAGTGCGGATGTATTTATGTACTGAATGCTATCAATACCTGTTTACTGTACAAATTAGATAAAGAGTGGCAAAAGTTATTTTCATTTCAAGATATGTCTATAATAAACTTTATCTGGAAATAAAGGTGCAATAGTCATTGAACATTCATTAAGTTCTATGTAATATGAACTTATTTTCAGAACTGGATGGGTTCAAATTATATAAACAATAGTGAATTCATTGGTAGCAAGTAAGGAGGGAATGGAGACAAAGAAATATAGATTGGGTAGATAGGGTCAGAAATCTACAACTTTTAATCATATTCTGTGGCTTAATTCATGTGTCGTAAAAAAAAACCCAGATAATTCATTCACAGTTAAACTACAACAGCAATTTGAGAAGAAATTGGAAAGACAATGTGTGGTAGCAAAACTTGTCATTTTGAAAAATGAAACGTTTACAATAATTATTTCTTGTTCACTTCTAAAGTGATAATAAAAATTGCTGGTATTGTTAAGTTAAATCTAACAACTTCAGTCTTGATCCTTCCTTTGAAGATGCCTCCTACAACAACACATCACTGACAAGGATGTAATCCTATTGACCATCAGAAATAAAATGACCTCTATAATCGCCTATTTGATCATCAGATTTTACTGAAAACGGCTATGGACAAATTTCATTAAATCATTAATCCCAACTCGGGGCTCCCGTCCTCAAAACTCCAATGGTTATGATCACTTCCACTCTCTGCACCCCTTGAACAAGTTATGGTGAAATTGAAGGCACAAGAAAAGTGATTTAATTGGTTCCAAGAGAAAAAAATTGACCAATCACAAGCTGATATGGTTTATTCTGAAGATTACAAAGGAAAGACACCCAACATCAAAGCTGTTACAATATACCATTATGCAACTGTGAGATTCGTTTGCTGTACATCAAAGGATCAAACTAGTCTTTTCATTTTGTTCTCAAGGTGTGGCACATGGAAACTTCAGTTTTGCAACATGTTTAAGGGGTCAGAAAGCGAAAGTGGATATAGCCCCTGGAGTATTGAAGATGAAGTTATATGTGTAGACAGTCTTACTGGCTAGTCAACAGATTAAATATGTGTAGACAGTCTCAATGGCTAGTCAACAGATTAAATTGATAACTTTAGATACTGCAGTTGCATTTCATGTGTTGACCCAAGATAGGGCATGCAATGGTATAGTCTCCTGTCATTCCTCAATGTCAGTAGCCAGGTAAGCTGGTTTCTTAAGTCTTCAAATAAACTTATTACATCAGTGTTTGCCTTTATAGAGTAAAATTTGGTTTAGAAACATATTCAATTCAATTAAATGAAACAAGACATGGCTCCATGAAAGATATTTTGAGAACTGAAATTCTACTTTGACTTAACCTGAAGTCGTAACCAAGAAGCCAAGCCTCCGTTATTCAACGGCTAGTCAGAGATCACCAGTGTTGAGTGGAAATTTTCAAATATTAATTTAACAAAACTGGGAACATTCTCCATCGATTCATAATTCTTGCCTTGTTTAAACAGGTAAAATTGATATATATCGCCCTTAACACATAACTTGAATTCTTAATTCAACCACTGGTTTACTTTCACTAACTTTTGAGCAACTAGGATCAGTTTATAACAGTATGATCCCTTATATTTCAAAAATGAAAACAACAATATTTTTTTTCTTTCAATCATTATTTATTAATGATTCCCCCAATGTTCCCCATCACAGTTCAAAGTTCACTTGGACTTTGTCTTTTCCTTGACCTGTGCGGCGATTCTGTCCAGATCTTTCTGTCCTTGGCTGGTCAGTTTACGTCCACCGTTAGCATCCTTCTCGACCAACTTCTGTGTTTCCAGAGCCTGGAGGACTCGCCTAGCCACAGAGCCGGAGGCACGGCAGTAATGGCTTGGGACTGTTCCGTTACGTTTACGATCTGAAAAACAGTAGTTATGTTATTTCATACCTAAAATAGACCATCATTAAATGATTCGATCAATGATGGGCTACACGAAACTAATCTGGTAAAACCATATTTACACATATCAGTGAAAAGATAATGTGCTATATCAGTGTGTATTCAAAACCTGTACAAATCATTTTCAATGTGGAGGTTCTCATAATATTTAGACCTAAAATAAATACCTGGTCTGCTATTTAAACCAGACTGACTTGATATTTTACAGCCTGTCTTGTTTTTTTAAATTATTTAAGAAATTTCTCCTTCTCATTTTCTTTTCATTACTGAAAAACCAAAAGCCTGCAATAGTGGACTTCAGGAAATTAAAAAAAAAAAGAAGAGAAAAACATCAATTTTCATTATATTGATGGTGTTTAAAAAACTACTTGTAACAAAAAAAAAAAAAAGACAAATTTCAGCACCAAACTATTCTATTTTAATTAATTACCATGTTAAACGTAAAAACATAAACCTACAGTATTATTTTTCAGGTCTTATCGGTTAAAATAATTGCCCATATTAAACCAATATATATGGCTAGAAAGATCTGGACATAATTTTCGAAATATATACAATATATATAAATACACATGTTGGTGTTCTCGTTAATTCATACCTCCGTATATTTTGGTCAGAGCACCGACTCCAGCTGGGGATCGGATGTACAGATGACGACAGATAGAAGCTGAGAATAAAGAAAGACGTGTGTCCATTATCATCGGATATACTTCCACAATTTATTGTCCTGCTAACACCACAGTTGAGCAATGAAACAAGTTAAATAAATGGTCAAAAGAGAATTAAGATTTAAAAGCAAAGTTATAGCTAGTCTAATTGTTCACATAAATTGGCAGTGTCATCTTATATTAACTGATAGATACAACACACAACACCATTACAAAATTGTAACTTCAGACAAAAAGAGTATTTGAGATGTGTACTCTTTAACTTTTGAAGGTCACTTCAGGTCTCTCGCATCCCATTTTGGGACTGGGGCCCGGGGCCCTTAGAATTGGGAAAAAAATGGTGTTTTCTTTAGAATTGGGAAATCTTGGGGTCTAAATTGGGAGAAAAAGATACTATTTTGCATTGGGAATGGGGCCGATATACCGCCCCAAATCTGGCAGATCAAGAGCCTTGCACTTAAATCACTTCAAAATATTAATTTGGTAAAATTTCAGGTAAAAGAAATACTCTACAGTTAACTACAGTTAATTATTTTTAAAATCTTTTATTCCATATTCTAAATATAATAAGCAAAATACATTATTTTCATGCACCTAATTAGGTTTGCGTGGCAAGCCATGCACTTCATATGGTAGAAATTCAGTGTTTCTTAAGTAAGAATCTGTTTCAAAGTAATAAATACATGGACTTCCCTTCTGATAATTCTGAGGATTTCTTTTTTCATTTTTTTTTTCCTAATTAGAGTTTTCCCCCTATATTCTGTATCCTGTACATCAATTCATTGGCTTAAGCATATGCACTTTTTGAGAAACTGAGGAAATTTAAATTTCTTATAAAGGATGTCCTACTCCTGCTCATAAATTGTAACAAAACAATTATTACCTGCCCTTGTGTAAAACCAGTCCTCATCATAAGGAGACAGCTCATTAAACTTAGACAGCTTGACAATTGTAGCCCATTCTGGGATCTTCATCTTTCCAGACCTGAAGAACAATGGGTTTTTTACATTTACCGTAAGTGTTTTAATGATTTTTTAAAACTACGAAATGATTGACTTTTAAAACATATTTCATTTAGCCATGTTAATGAAAGGGTTATTCATAATTTGTGGAACCATCTGTTAAAATTCCCATGGTAATTGATTACTTTACTAATTCATAACAATTCTTAAAAATAAAAGAAATCAAAAGCCAACTGTTTAAAGATGTTCATAGTCAAAATATTTCACTGGAAGTAACAGAAGTTGGCACAAGCCTAAATATATCATCATCCAATAACACTGTACAGTGAAATCATATATTGTTGTTGTGTTTAATTTTTGTGGTTTTGTATAATTCTATTATCCGTTCCTTGTTACACACCAAAGTGACATTTTCTTAATGGTTTAACTCACTTTTTTAGGAAGGCTGCCAAAGCCTTGGTGAATGTGTGGGAATCCACATCCTTCACGGAGATACCCATTTTGTTCTGAAAATGCAAAAAAATCTTCATCAATGAAATAGTTTTTCCTTCCACATTATCCATGAATGATGGTACAAAACTAACTAATACCATTTAAAAGATGAAGTTATATTTGTTTAAAGTCTGATATCCCCTCCATAATAGCAGCCATATAAGGACGGATGTCTAGAATGACACGAACAAAAGAAAGAGTTGAGGAAGGGCAAGAAAGGAAGGGTTAATAAATGATTTGATCCTAACCAATTCAATAGAGACCGCAGATTAATTTTGGTCTTTTTGATATTCTCTGTAGGGCTCTCACAGCCCATTTTGGGACTGGGGCCCAGGGCCCTTAGAATTGGGAAAACTTGGGGTCTGAATTGGGAAAAAAGATACTATTTTGCATTGCGAATGGGGCCAAATATCGGCTCCAAATCTGGCAAATCGAAAGCCCTGCTCTGGCCTTGGCAGATGGCAAATAAGAAACTCAAGATTCTTCAGGAAGCCTTACATATTAGTCACCTCTCATGACAAAAGGTTTATCCTTTCATCTCCTACTTGTTTAAGGAATCCATTACTACATCATTAATATATGATTGTGATGTCTGTTCGTGAATGATAACGTATAAAGAAAATCTAGATTTAAGTCAACAAAGGCTGGACAACATACATTTGTTTACATTATTGAAAAAAAAATTAAGAAAAATATCCATGTATTTCAAATAATCAAAAGGTGGAATATCACACATTGGGGGCGCACATCTGTCATCTTGTAGAATTTTAAAAGTTATTTATCAGAGCAAAGCTCTATACCAGTAACATGTTTAAGAACATGATTTTTTGATGTCCAGGACAAGAGGTCCTTGGACATGATCTGAGAAAGATTCTTCTGAAAGAGAAGTGCATGGAGTGTAGGTGCTCTGCATTTATCCCTTAGCCAATTCTAATAAAAGGTACTTTTGACACCATTTCTGCTTTCCTAAATTTATTTAGTTTACTTTCAATCATAACTTAATATGAAGATGAACTTACAGTAATGAAATTGTCACAAATTAGAATTTCTTTATTACTCCAACCAGTATCCTGATGTTACAACATATACACAGAACATCAATGTGTGATCAATCACTTGCTGTGGCGTGTCAAATTTTCTTGCAGCACTAACCAGTTAACCAAAATTTATTTGGGTTTTATTGTCTTAAAACTTTCAACCATGAATGTCTATATGGCATGTTTTTTGGCATGTTTGTTCAATTTTTGACATTTAAAAAAAAATTGCTTTATATTTTCAGCATCCACGCACTCGCTATTTAGTAATAATCACTATAGCAAGTCTGTCAAATTTTGCGCCATTCAATTCTTGTGACATCCACAGGAAAACATCCCTTTGATGTTTCCATGTAAAAAAAACTTGTAACTCAGGATGAAAGGATAAAAAATTGCAAGGACAAAATTCAACCAACTCACAGGAAATTTTCTTCTGAAAAATATCATTTGTTTTACCAAAGCATTCGATTCGTTGTCCATTTTTTTTATGTGAATACAAGGATCGCGACCAGGTATGGCTCAGTTGTTTTAATTTGCCCTTTATACTCAAAAGTCAAATCTGCCTATATAGCCAGACCTGCAGGTGCTACAGCAGTACCTGCATATATTGCACGTGGGTTTTACCAGTTGTTCATCCCTACAAACCCACCTGCAAGTCGGAAAATTAATACTATGTATGTATAATATCAGTGTGTGATCTCCGTCGACTAAAAGTACAGTATCGTTAATACTCGTCAGTGATACGTGTTGCATTGAATCTGTCGAAATCGGTCGCTGATATAAAGAAACCATTGCTAAAGAGACGCATTAACAGGAAATAAAGAATGTTTTACATCTTCCTAAACTTCTGTAAAAGTCTCAAAAATTTAGAAATAAACATACTTGTCACTGGAATTCATTAATCGCACTACATATAGTTGTAACTTTCCTTGCTATATGGGGGCCGCCATTTTGCTTTACAACATGTGGACCGAGAACGTCAACGGATATATATTATTTTTGTGTATATTAAGAAAAAAAATACACTTATTTATAATTTCCCTCGTTTAAATTTTGTCTTTTGGTGTGACGAAATAAAGGTTAGTGGGCAGATTATACAGGAAAGTTGTTAATTTTAAAGATTTATACACAGTTACTAGCTACACCATGCTTACTTTCAGGAGGTATCGAAAAAGAGGCCGAACAGGAACCACGTGAGTGGAACGAGGGGCGATAACTGCATAATTCAGGTAGCACTACACAAAATAATTATACATCTCACATCAAATTTGTTTTTTGTCTGAAGCATAAGGTGTTCACTGACACTGAATTTGAATTTGTGTTTATCTTTATATATATATTTATCTGATCCGGTAATGAATTCCAATATCATTTGTAACAGAAACGAAAAAGGTTGATTTTTCTGTACCGGTACGATTCTAATAGTAAAACTCGAATTTCCGGATCTAGTATCACATAATTTTCTGTTGTTAATGGAAAAGAAATCATTCAGAAACCGGGGTCAATTTTATTATAGATTTTAATTGCGTGATTTTAGCTAAGTTGACGATGGCATACCAAGTCTTTGAAGTCCAAGCAAATCTGGTCCTATATAATTTTAGAGTGAAGCGGACCGACCACTTTATTTTGGGTTATTTGTTTTGATTTTTGTTTTGTTATTTAAATATCAAATTTAGAAATATCCTCATACCAGGAAGAGCAAGCAAATTCGGTATGACACTTTATGAGAGCTGAGCATTAATATGTTTTCTTCATTATTTGAGAAAGATCGATATCCTACTTCTGTAATGACAGCTTAGTCTTCGATCCGTTTTCTGAATAACAAATTAATTCTTCAGATAAAGAAATGTCTATCATCACCACGAGGTACAGCCGAAAGAGAAGTTTTTTACCTTTGCGCAAGACATGAAATCTCTCCTCAGATGTTTGACTTTTTTTCCCCCGAAAAGGATCATTTTTATCTTTTCCCTAATTTAATGATAACTCACTGTTATAACAGGATTCCAGAGCGAAGGAAAGTCTAAATGAAATTGTTTCAAGTCATTTATGTAAGGACATGATACAATATAATGAAAATTCGGTGTGATATTGAACTGTAAGACGTTAAATTGAACATAGGATTAATTAGATTGAATATGGCAGCTTTGTCATCCGTACAGATGAGTAATTTACACAAACTATCAAATCTAATATCCATGTCATTTACTTAAACCAAATACAAAAGTGGTCCCATTAAACCATTTCAAGCAGAAGCCCGCAGTTGAATATGTATAACTGACGGTTGCTCCTCATAGACACACGCTAGTTGAGATCTATTTTTTAAAGAGGACTTGAACCAGGTACATGATTCAAAATCGATAATGTCCGATTTGTTGCATAATACTGAATGATATACCAATAAACCTTTTCATACTTGAGTTTTTTTTTATAATTCAGATATAACAAACAACAGAATGTAAAGTATGAATGCCTGAAATCGGATTGAAATTCGTACAATATGTTAGTTTGACACGAACATATTCTATTAACAATCAGGAACCCTCGGCACTTTCCGCAACCGAGAAAATACTCGCTAGCGGAAAGTGCCGAGGGTTCCCGATTGATTCTAATAATAGTAGACTGCTTTATCTAATTTTTGACGTAATACTATAGACGCTTATAGTTTTTTCCCTTACTTGTGAATAAAGGGATCACCTCGGTGGTCGTTATATCAACAGGGGCTGTACCTTCAGATATAGATAAGTCTATTATAAAAATGTTTGAAATTTTGACATTAATATGATACAGTCCTGCACTTTCACTAATAACTCATTGTTTGTCCAGTGATAAATCTACATGCGAGTCTTGAGTCCAGTACTCACAGAATTCTAAATGGAATCAAAGGATTTTTGAAAATACTTAAATTCTGCATTGTGGAATAATAATAGTAATAAAATTGCAAGGAACTAGTGAAAATAAATTAAAGATTAATCACTTTTGGCTCCGAAGTAACTATAAAGTTGTATGAAAAGGTGCTTTTTAATTGTGTGTCTTTTGTACAATCTTAATAACAGACTTTAAGGTTTTCTGTCCGGAAACAGGATCTACAACATTTGGTAAAAATATACAAGATGTATAATCAGAACACGGACGTTTTACCGACTTGGAACACTAGACGGATGTTTTATCAACTCGGAACACTAGACGGATGTTCTATCGACTCGGAACACTAGATGGATGTTTTACCGACTGGGAACACTAGACGGATGTTTTACCGACTCGGAACACTAGACGGATGTTTTACCGACTCGGAATACTAGACAGATGTTCTACCGACTCGGAACACTAGACGGCTGTTCTACCGACTCGGAACACTAGACGGATGTTTTACCGACTCGGAACACTAGAGGGATGTTAAAGTGACTCGGAAATATCGACGGATGTTCTACCGACTCGGAACACTAGACAGATGTTCTACCGACTCGGAACACTAGACGGATGTTTTACCAACTTGGAACACTAGGCGGATGTTCTACCGACTCGGAACACTAGACAGATGTTCTACGGACTCGGACCACTAGACCGATGTTTTACCGACACAGAACACTAGACGGATGTTCTACGGACTCGGAACACTAGACGGATGTTCTATCGACTCGGAACACTAGACAGATGTTCTACCGACTCGGAACACTAGAGGGATGTTTTACCAACTTGGAACACTAGGCGGATGTTCTACCGACTCGGAACACTAGACAGATGTTCTACGGACTCGGACCACTAGACGGATGTTTTACCGACACAGAACACTAGACGGATGTTCTACGGACTCGGAACACTAGACGGATGTTCTACCGACTCGGAACACTAGACGGATGTTCTATCGACTCGGAACACTAGACGGATGTTCTACGGACTCGGACCACTAGACGGATGTTTTACCGACTCAGAACACTAGACGGATGTTTTACCAACTCGGAACGCAAGACGGATGTTCTATCGACTCGGAACACTAGACAGATGTTCTACCGACTCGGAACACTAGACATATGTTCTACTTACTCGGAAATCTCGAAAGATGTCCTAGTGACTCGGAAATCTCGACGGATGTTCTACGGACCCGGAACACTAGACTGGTGTACCAACTCGGAACACTAAACTGATGTTCTACCAACTCGGAACACTAGACGGATGTTTTACCGACTCGGAACACTAGACGGATGTTCTACCGACTCGGAACACTAGACGGATGTTTTACCAACTCGGAACGCAAGACGGATGTTCTAGTGACTCGGAACACTAGACAGATGTTCTACCGACTCGGAAATCTCGAAAGATGTCCTAGTGACTCGGAAATCTCGACGGATGTTCTACGCACCCGGAACACTAGACTGATGTTCTACCAACTCGGAACACTAGACTGATGTTCTACCAACTCGGAACACTACATGGATGTTCTACCGACTCGGAATACTAGACGGATGTTCTACCGACTCGAACACTACATGGATGTTCTACCGACTCGGACCACTAGACGGATGTTCTACCGACTCGGAACACAATGTGGATGTTCTACCGACTCGGACCACTAGAAAGGTGATCTAGATACCATCACCCTTCCCCTACCCAACTTCACAAAAAAAAAAAAAAAACAAACAAACAAACAAACAAAAGCAAAAACAAACGAGGGAGTCCTGCTCTCAAAACAAATATTTCACGTACTTTAACTGTTATAGACGCCTGTCGCAAAACGAAAATATTAGGAGTCTACAAGTTATAATACCCTATCCCAGCCCCCAGATAGGAACCACAATTAACCCACTATCTAACTATATATTGTCTTTCGTTTCTCTAACTCGCCTATACTTTGTTACCGTGTGATGTCATATACTTATATCGACGTGTATATGTAGCAAGGTAGGTATTGTAAATTACAGAGCGAAAGAAAAAAATCGAAACCCACAGATAAAAGTAGCCTTCAAAATGAGTAAAATTTCCGGTCCTAGTTTTGGCTTAAAAAAGACAACTGCCGACTGCATATTCGCCAACAATGTCAAACACTTCATTGTTAACACTTATTGATAAAATACTTAACCGTGCTGGCTGGTAGCATTTGGCAATGAATTTATAAATTGTTTTCAATAACGCCGCTTTATGAGTCTTATCAATACTTCTCAAGCGTTCGGTAAACTTAGACCACGTGCCGGCAAGAATTTTTCGTCGTCAAGAGGATGTCGCTGCATTATGACGTCATAATCAATGGATGCAGTTGCTACGGATTGGTATGAACGGGGATCACACACGCAATATGTTATAGATAAAGTTGTTGAGATAATATAAGTAACGATAGGATTTTAACGTGAATATGTTGGAGCGAGAGCACCGTCGGGTGAGACAGAGGCCGAACGTGTACCCTTACAATGCAAGGTAAGTAATAGTGGTAAGCTGAAATACTTGAGGTATTATATAAACATTTATCTCCCCCTCTTCCTCCTCCTCCTCCTCCTCCTCCTCCTCCTCCTCCTCCTTCTTCTTCTTCTTCTTCTTCTTCATTCTTCATCTTCTTCTTCTTCTTCTTCTTCTTCTTCTTCTTCTTCTTCTTCTTCTTCTTCTTCTTCTTCTTCTTCTTCTTCTTCTTCCTCTTCTTCTTCTTCTTCTTCTTCTTCTTCTTCTTCTTCTTCTTCTTCTTCTTCTCTCTTCTTCTTCTTCTTCTTCTTCTTCTTCTTCTTCTTCTTCTTCAGTGATAGACCCTAGGTTCTTTTACGAGAAATGAGAGGTTTTGATTGATGGGCAATATTGTCTCGTGTTTTACCTGTATATTCCCCCTCATCTCTACTCATTCCTTCTAATGTGGGGTCCTTTTGAGACAAATACCGATATCTTGATTTCTGGATTTTTGGACTATGGTACAATTTAATGTCTATAATTTTTGGTGATCCTTTGGCTAAGTGGAGAGAGCCCAGATCTTTCACCGAAAAGACCAAGGTTTGATCTTTACGTACAAGAAAAAGAAGTACTCTCCAGACATTGACCTGAAATTTTATCCGGTTTCCATGCACTGAAAAACAAGACTGACTGATGAATTTAGTTTTTAATAATTACTTTTCTAAAAAGTAGTGGTATTATGTAACAAATATACTATATAATAAATATTCGGTATTCTTTGTAAATAAAAATGACAATTTAATCTTCGTGGGTCTTTTCATAACAAACTCAATCATAAGTTCCCGACAACATTACGCCCCTAAAACATGTTTTTTTTTTTGCGAAGAGCTATCATCACAGAACAATAAACAAACGATGGTTTCTGTGCAGTTAAATACCTCACGCTTAGCATGGCACCGTTCAGACGATCGTCATATATCGATCTTGTAGAAAAGAACAGTAACATTTATAAATTCATAAGGAACTATTATAGTATTGATGTAGCTTAAAGAAACAAACCTCGAGGCTCTTTCATACGTAACTTTCTATACATCAGCACTTCATACTTAAGTTTTCAATACCTGTGCATGTGTACAGTTGGTGTTTCTTTTAAAAGGTTTTTTAAAGTTGTCTTTAATATTTTCTTATGCTTTCTATAAAATCAATTTACTTATATTTAAATAAATAACATATATTATTACTATCATAGACGAAGTTTGTTTAGGGGGAGTACAATTACAGTCTGATCACACATGAAAATATATCCCAAATCCTTCTGCCTTCGCCTCAGTCCTCTGCCTTCCCTGCCAGTTCCTTGATCTTTCCCCTCCCCTTCACTTTTCATTCCTCTAAATCACATGTCTTCCCCTTAGCCTGCCCCCCACCCTACTCCAGTTCCCCGCCTTCTCCCCTTAGCCTTCCCCCTACTCAAGTCTCCCGCCTTCTCCCCTTAGTTACCCGCCTACTCCAGCCCCCGCCTTCTCCCCTTATGCCTCCCCCTACTCCAGTCCCCTGCCTTCTTCCCTTAGTTATCCGCCTACTCCAGCCCCCGCCTTCTCCCTCAGTCCCCAGCCTTCCCCTCAATCACCCGCCTACTCCAGTACCGGCCTACTTTAGTCCCCTGCCTGCCCCTTAGTCCCGCGCCTACTCTGGCCCCCTGTTATTTCCTGGTCCCCGTCTACCCGTCCCCCTCTTCCCGGTCAGTACACAAGCACCACCCTCATATACAATAGTATTTAGTCACACCACCCTCATAATTGATTTCACTTCTTTATCATTTAAAATACAATGCGTTATGAATTAATACAAGCGGATTATATCATTGTATTTCAGGGAGGAAGGAATCCCCAAGAACCGGACCACGTGCCCTTTGTTTTATCAGCAGGAGAAGGCATTGATAAAGGACCAGGAGTACATCCCTGGGGCCCCCTCTCTGACAGGTGAACATGTACCAAAGTAAGTGAACTCGTCTAATATTCTAAAAATAAACTGAAAATCATAAGGGTAACCAACTATGTAGATATGTATATCCAGACTTTATAGCGGACAGTCTGTCTAGAAAAGTGCATACTATTTTCATAGAGGCAAAACTTTTCTAAGAACACGTGGTGTCAGATATTTACATATTATATATTTTATATTATATGTATTGTGTTGTATTGTGTTGTTGTGTATTTGTATTGTGTTGTATTTGAATTGTGTTGTATTGTGTTGTGTTGTATTGTATTGTATTGTGTTGTGTTGTGTTGTATTGTATTGTGTTGTATTGTATTGTGTTGTGTCATTGTGTTGTATTGTATTGTGTTGTATTGTGTTGTGTTGTGTTGTATTGTATTGTGTTGTATTGTATTGTGTTGTGTCATGTCGTGTTGTATTGTAATGTATTGTGTTATATTGTGTTGTATTGTGTTATGTCGTGTCGTGTTGTATTGTATTGTGTTATATTGTGTATTATTGCATTGTGTTGTGTTGTATTGTATTGTGTTATATTGTGTTTTATTGCATTTTGTTGTGTTGTATTGTTTTGTATTGTGTTGTATTGTGTTGTATTGTATTGTGTTATGTCGTGTTGTGTTGTATTGTATTGTATTGTGTTATATTGTGTTGTATTATTTGGTATTGTGTTGTATTGTATTGTGTTGTGTCGTGTCGTGTTGTATTATTTGGTATTGTGTTGTATTGTATTGTGTTGTATTTGTATTGTATTGTTGTATTACTTTAAGAACACTTTAAAAAGTATATACTGAAAATAAACCCTTAACATTCACATAAGAAACAAGTTAAATAATATTTACCAAAACTTTCATCGTCAGATACTCGTTCTTTGTTCAATACAAATTACGTGCAACAGTCTCGATTGGTAAATGGCTATACAGTGTACTTATATACATCGTATCAGACACGCGTGCTGCTACTTTTCCACCAAAACAATGATCTCCCTGACTAAACCTTTCTATTATAAAATACATTTCTTTATCAGTCTCATTGAAATTCATTATACAGTGAGGTTCAACCAGTTGTAATTCTTTGAAAGTGTTAAATAAAAGTGACTTTTCATGTTGAAATCTTGACAAAGGTGTAGAACCTAAATAAAGCATGACTTGTTTAATGTACAAACGACATTTCCTCGCACTTAAACAAAGTCGATTGACGAATTTACATTTGTGTTAAAGCCACGCGGGTAGGGTCTTAGCACGAAGTGGGATTACAATCCACTAGTAATTGTCAATCTGTACTCTCATAGGCTGTTACGTTTGTTTACCGTTGTAACAGTAGAGCACTAGAAATGCTATACAAAGGGCAAATTGTTTCTCCACTTGGTTGGATCATACAATTTGCGTCCAAGACAACGTCAGAGCATACATACTGTACTTCCTCTTAGCCCTCTTATTTTCTGATTTATTATTTATTTATTTATTTGTTATGTGCTCAAATAATATATTCCCAACATTTGATCGGTAAATTGAACAAATCACCGTCCGTCCGTGGTCCGATGTCCGCCTGTCCTGAAAAACAGTTCTTGTTATCGCTATATCTTGAGAAGAACTCGATGGATCAATTTCAGATTTCATATGTATGTGCCTCTTGAACCCTAACCGTGCATTGTTTGATATTGAGAAATATCTAAAAAAATATATATATACAAACAAACAAAAAAAAAACCCCAAAAAACAAAAAAAAAAAAACCAATGTGGCCGACACACGGCCATCTTTGATTTTGACAGTAATTATTTTTATAAATTAATTTACATTAAAACCTGCCCTATCTGACATTCTTGGCCATAACCTATGTATTGGTCACATTAGAAAGCATGGCGGAATAGTAAGGTGTTCACTGGAAGTTTTTCCCAGGAAAATAATAACATAATTGATTGGATTATACAGATTATCGGAATATACAGTTGGTTTTAATTTTGACAGAATTAAAAATTGAAGTATTTCGAGAGTACTTTTCTAATTAGAAAACATTACATAAAACGATACTTTTATTTACCAAACAATGTTATGCACATATTAAGACAAAAATTTGATAAACTTGACAGGAACTAATCCGTTTCCTAATGTTTTGAAGGACAGAGTGAGAAAGGTGCAGAAATAGAAAAACAATTTCAACATGCACATACAGATTTTGAACGCCGGGTGTCATTTTCTTTCATTCTTTCTCGTTTTCTTTCTTTTTTCTTTCTACATATTTTTGTAGAAAGTACGTGTATTACGATTTCGGTCTGGGAATTTCGTTCTTTCTTTCTGTGCTCTCTCTCTCTCTCTCTCTTGAAGTACGATAGTACTGTAATCAAAACATCCGACCCACTATCTAAACCGACAGGAACTAATCCGTTTCCTCTCTCTCTCTCTCTCTCCCTCGAATTTCTCTCTCTCTCTCTCTCTCTCTCTCTCTCTCTCTCTCTCTCTCTCTCTCTCTCTCTCTCTCTCTCTCTCTCTCTCTCTCTCTCTCTCTCTCTCTCTCTCTCTGTAACTCTCTGTCTCTCTCTCCCCCCTCTCTCTCTCTCTCTCTCTCTCTCTCTCTCTCTCTCTCTCTAGATATGTCTGTAGAAAGCACGCGTGCAACTATTTCGGTCTGGGAATTTCTTTCTTGCTTTCTTTTCTTTCTTTTTTTTTCAATTTTTCTTTTTCTGAAAATATTTTTGTACGAAAATAGGAATTTATGATGCACTTTTCTTGTCACACTTTAAAAAAATTGAGCCGAATGATTTACCAGCGTTTTGTCAGAACCATATGTACGGTGCTGGTATGCGCTTACATATACCTGTCATCTTCACAATTTCACGAGATTGAAACGTTTGTCATTAGGTGAATGCATTTATCAAACGGTCTAACGACAATTTAAATCGTGTAAGCTATGAGGATTTTAAATAAATCGTTGAAGACGTTCTGATATACATGTTGAAAGAACTTGATAAAATTAAATTAGTTAGGACATTTTCAACTTTTTATATTGCTTCTGAAAGCAATAAATTTTTAAACATTTGATAGGATATTTTAGGTCAATTTCTTCAGTTTGTATCTGATAATCGTGTTATCAATATGAAGGTTCGTGTCATGGCGAGATGAAAGTGTTTTTATCAAACTGGTCCCCGCGTATTATTAACTATATAGGATTATCCACCTTTCCAGTGATTTAATGGAAACTTAAAGTTACAATATTGGTAAAGTTTATGAATTTTATGTTCGTCTACGAAACTATAAAAATGTAAATAATGAAGGGAAAAAAAAAAACAGAGAAATTTCGCTTGACTGAAAGTCACAAAACTGATCAAATAAATGAAATTATCAGCATTTGGTAACTCCTGTTTGTAGATATTTGGTGAAACTTTTTGGGAATTATCTACAGATACTAAAATGAAGTTAAGGTGTTATGACTTTTGTGTGTGTGTGGTTTTTTTGTTTTTTGTTTCCGTTTTTTGTTTGTTTTGTTTTTGTTTTTGTTTTTGTTTTTCTGTTTGTTTTGTTTTTGTTTTTGATTTTAATTTTTATTGTGTTTTTTGTATTTTTAAAATTTTTCTCTCAGTGATAAAATTACCATACATACATGATAATGTAAGTTGGTAGAAGGATCTTAGATCATTCATAGTTCAACAAAAGTGTTGTACCTCTAGATCGAACGATTTGCATTTAAAGAGTTTTCGTAGGAGTCAAGTGTATCTGTAACAGCAAGAATAAGGATTTTGATTGAATGGAATGAACTTGGGTGCAAAATGTTCTGCGAGTCTGAATGCACGTGTATCAGAGAGCCAAAACAGAAGATCTGGAGAAAAATTTGAAAAATCAGATTCATTCTGTTTAGAATAAATTGATTTCTTCCAGTCAGGCACCCGTGCATGTCATATTGATCACTTGGTTTGATAAAACGAGTCTCTCTGCTGGAGCTAATTCTAGATATTGGATGCAGACACCTGGGACAGGTATAGTTCTAATACTGACGACTGTTAATAAATTACTATGATATACTTAACATTAAACAACCTGTCATCTACATGGTGACCTCCCCTGCCTCGACCAAAGGTCCACAGGCACAACGCTAGGAGATCGAGTCCGTAATCTCAATCCCGTGCTCTCTCGACGTCGTGATGTCTCTTCCCCGCTTAACGTTGTCGATCCCTCGTTCATTCGAGGAACTGTATTGCGAGATGGCCTTCACGGATCGCCATATCTACAACAGACGACTGTTATGTACGTGTAACAGAGGTTCAAGGATTCGAACCCGGGGCCTCTGGTTTACACGTCTGACGCTCTGTCGATAAAGCTGAAGAGGAGTTCTCTGTAGCTAAACAGTATATTGCGTCTAGTATTTTATCAAGGATACATACGTGATCCGGAGGGGACATTTCACGATAGCTGTATCAAAGCACACTTTATGGTAGATCCGACCTTACAATCCTTGTACGTTATTCTTTCATTTTCTGTAGCTGAAATATCCTGACAGATGTATTTAATGTCATCATCTTAACGAAAAAAATCGACCTTCAACTATAGCAAGATTGATTCGAAACTGATGCTTATTGTAATTTAGAATCGCATGGGATGTTATGAATTTTTATTTTATTCCACAAATTTGCCTGCTTCCTTTGTTACACATGTCATGTTGACAGTTTTATTAAACATACCGTTAATACCGAAATATTGGTTCAAAAGTGAAAGCACTTTCAACGGAGGGGACATCTTAACCGAAAATTGAAATACAGTGTATGTCCCCTCCATCGAGACATATTACTTCATCTTAGCAAAAATAATTATACATATTTGGACATAAAATGATTGAGACGAATACTACATCATCCAACATGCACAAGCCTTACTATGCATTCTTACATTTCAACTCCAAATATAACACACATAAGTTTACTTTCAGTTTAAATATTGGTCTATACTTATATCGATCAAAGTCTTATCGGTAAAAGAAAATATCCTAAAAATACCAAATAAATGCAGTGCAAGTAAATGCGTTGCTGGTCGGTTGTTTATATGCCGCCATCTTGAAATGTCCCCTCCGGACCACATACACGACAATGCCAACCGCATCACCTCGAACGAGGAACAAACGCAAACAAACCATTTTATCTCGCATTATTAACGTTTTGGTTTTTGACCCTACAGTAAAGCTACTGAAGAGTTAACGTATAAAAGTATGTCTGTTGTCGTTTTCTCTGCTGTTCTTCTTATTTGTTGTATTTGGTGTTAATTCTAGCAGCTAAAATGGCGGGAAAAATCGATATATGTCTTCCCACGAATCCTATTTCCTTTTTTTCGTTTTTGACTGACTATTTCAGTTATGTCGATTTCTACCCCGGAAATTAGCTCATCAACCCTATTGGCTTTGCTCTTCGTCATTTAAATAATTGATCTAATTCATGTTTCAAAGTAATGCTCAGTTCTTTACCACGATAACAATAACCCGACAAGTCACGTCAGTGCAACACAACATAGCAAGTGAAAGAGAAACTATTACGATAATGGTGAGAATTCAAAGAGATTTTTAATGTTTAAACATAATTACGTTTTATAATGAAAATGTTCCCTATCATTTTAATATGTCCTCAATAAACTTTTCTTATTTCAATTAATTGTTTACTTTAAGACCCGGATGAAAACACCACAGTAATGAATCAATTTTTTCCATAGATTTTTATATTCTCCACGCGATTTAAACTAAAAAATACTGATTTAGGAAACAGTTATTTATAATATGTTTTAAAACAAGGAAGCTCGGATCAGATAAATTTTTTGAAAGATTAAACAACCTTCCCACACCCGAAAAATGAATAACTGTTCTTTCGAAAATTTTGGACAATTTTCGCGTGGAATTTTCAGTGTAATCCCGCTAAGCTAACAAAGCATTTTATCGCAGAATTGAAAAAAGTGACTTCTGGGTAGCATCGTCAGCTTGACGTGTCGCTAAAACGCAAATCACATTATTGGCTCAATTGATCTCTTAATTATCTTAAAGATTTGCTGAATAGTGGCTTACTTTTCTTAAGAAATCAATTTGAAACAGATCTATTGAAATACCTGTTTGTTTATACCAATGAAGTTGTGTGTTTATTCGCTATTTCTCAAATACAGTTTACGAGTCGTTTGTGGATTGTATCACTTTGTTTGAATGTATATATCGTCTGGAAGTTCAAATACGTTTGTTGAATAAAGCACAAGAAGAAATTTTATAAACACCGGAAAACTAGAAGGAAAATATACAAGGCTATGTGATGCTAGATCGTGAGAACGTTTCAATACAATCGTCACTAACATTACATGTTTACGTCACCTTGCTGAAAACTTTACCTCCTTTACTAGAGAATTCCACAAAACAATAAGAAACATGTCATGAATAATTATCACTTATATTGTGTAGATAGGATATGCATATGTAAATATAAAGTATCTTAGGTGAGATTTGTTTTTTGTATTAAGGGGGTATAGTACCTTTGTTATCCTAGGTCTCTCTCTTCCTAAAATACGGTACGAACTTTATAGCATGGTATTTTTTTCATATTTAAACTTAATACGTGCACATCATTCTAAGCAAGACACATGTTATTAAATCCTTCAGACAAATTGTTGAAAGAAAGTTTTAAAAAATAGTTCCATGGTAGATTTAATTTTGGTTTCGCTCACTCTACACTATTATTGAAAATGTTTCAAATTAATCATATGTTAGTTTCAAAACACAATTTCAGTGTCATTGAGTTTATTTGTAAGCCCCAGGGCGTATGAGATACAAGATACATGGCCTGATTCTTTCAAAGTTATTGAATAAATTAACTGTGGAAACAGTACATAAAACAGCACTAAGACTATCAGAATGCCTTTGAAATGCGTTTGTTTGTGTTCTTTTTTTATTTATCAGTTGAACCAAAAAGTGAGTTGAGTCCATGGTGATACTTAATCTTTTTTATATGTGGCGGTTCGCGAATTGGATTTTAGAATTCACTTACCTTATCAGGATTTAAACGCTAAAACAAACGCATGACTATTCCTGTTTTTATCTGGTAAACACATTTGTAATCTTTCACTATATATTAATTCTTAAATAAAGCCTTTATCTAAGTTGCTAAAAGTTTTTTGTCAGTTTTATCTTATCAGAAAAAAAATCGAAGACTGGAATTTATCTGCGTTCATGAAGCTTTAAGAAACCGCATATTCAACGAGGCTTGTACAACATAATGATAATACGAGTTAGGGCGTTGTTTGGATTACAACCAAAAGTGTAGTTACTTTTTTTCTAATCGAAAACGGTTAGGAAAGCAAATAAACCATAACTGATATAACTAAACATTATCTAAATCAAAATGATGCAAAGTTTTTGTCTTTTTAAATATTAGAACCTTAGTAACGAATTGCAGTCATGCAAATCTATTACATATTTATTGAAGTGATCTTTGTATGTGATCATAAATGTCTTTCTACTAATGTTGCTCACTTAGAATCACTTTATGACTGAATTTGTGTTATATCATCCAAACTATGGCTGATTTAAATCAACTCTGCAGTTTTTATCTACGATAAATGCATCTTTTTGGATAACATAATCAGTACGGAAGTCTTAAAATCCTGTTTAGAAAATATTTTCGTGAAATGAATAAAATGCATATGTTAATTTGTGGACCTTTGTCAACTCTCATTTTCATGTGAAAATACACGTGCGATGTTCAAACGAAAGTAACCAAACTTTAATCTGACGTGTTCAATGTGTATGTATTTAGTGTTGTAAGCTATTGGGCGGGTTTATCTTTAAGTAAAGTTTGAATATTATCATACAAGTAACCCCATATCAAAAGCCTAGTCAGCTTAACGTGCATTAGTCCAGTCATTATCTGTGATCTGCGACGATCAGGCAGATTTCCGCCGAAAATAAAAAAATGAAATATCATTTACGAATAATGACACAAATATATACTAAATATAATTTGAAAAAGACATCAGATTAGTTTGAAAATGTTACTTTATGTCTTTCTTATTAAGCTGTTTAAGCTTTTTATATAAAGTTCTGGACAGGATTGAAATATATATACCCTAGATGTATTGGGTATATTACCCACACGCCCGCGAGATATCGAAACGGTAGTCAGCTAAATGGTAGCATGTGAAGGGATTCAAATTTGAAAATCTGAGCTTTCTAAAGGGAAGGAGAAAAATAATTTAATTCGACAAATAGATAACTTTTACTGGTATTTGAATTCGTTCTTCATCACGTTGTGTTCGGATATCTGATTTAAAGGACTTTGTAGATCAATACACAAAGAACCTTGTTTCTAATACGGAGAGACATGTTCAATATGTAGATGTGTTAAACATATCACAAAGATGATTGGAAAATTTCAAGTTCAATTAAGGATTCTGACTTTGATCTGTCAGTGAAAATTATTATGGAGATTTGAACTTTGATTTTGAACAAACATTACGAGTAGAAGAAATGGGTCAGTGTTATAATTCAGTGTCTACTTTTCGCGTCATAATGGATAAAGTTTCCCTTCACGTGACTAAAAACAGGAAATACTGTTAATATGGCTGGAGGTTTTTGTCCGAAAGTTTCACTCAAACGTCGGACTGTTATGCACGATTCTTACGACAAACTGCATGGTCAGGACAGGTATGTAACCAGTATGTAAATCTGTTGTCTTTCAACAATTGTCTGTCTTAAGTAAAAAGTATAAACACATAGATATGGATCCTCGTTTTTAAAACCATCAGACAAACTATATTTCATGTATTTGTTGGATACATTGAAAAGATGTACTCAGAGTTGTCGTTCCTTGAAAGCGAGTGTCAAGAACGATAACTCTAAATAGTGGTGACTCCAGTCCCTCTGTTCGTCCGTCTATTAGAAACTAATGAACATGAATATGATTGTGGTCGCAGCTGTAATCCTACTTCAGATAAATTGAAATCTACATTAGCAAATAAGTCGCGAATGAAACTTTAACGCATTGGACCGATGCGTTAGTGTAGCATAATAATACAAATTAATGATGAAAACATTGTCACATTCCAGAAACAAATATAACAGCGCCTCCTGGCGGTCAGAAAACCAGATGAGGTACAAGGTCATCGACTTTTCTCGGGTATCTCCGGACAAGAAACCGTTCCTCCTGACAACACTCGATGCAAGACGTCACAATCCACAATCGAAAAATATTTTCCATATACATCGAATTAACCAGAAGGTATGGTCTTTTTTCCACTTGCAGCTGTATCTTTGTAACTGCAATACTGTTCTCCCCTTCTTTTAATCAACTCAACTCAAATCACTCACTCACTCACTCACTCAACTCACTCAACTCACTCACACTCGCTCGTTCGCCAGCTCCAAGTTACCATATTGTTTTGGTAGTGACAAGAAAAGTGTTGGTAATGATTGCGTACTTAAATGATGGATTTGACAAGGGAGATAACTCTCAAACAAACACATCCTGTCTGAGATAGCATACACCCTTAAGAAAGTAGGAATTTCTATTACCGTCTGTGAATTCTGGCATTACATTTTGTAAATATAGCTTTTCCATTGATCGATTTTATTGATTTCTACTTTATTGATATATTTAGTCGATTTGATATTTTTAAATGCCAGATTTAGCTATTGATTACGGCTAAATATTCACTTATCTGAATACTGATAACTGTGCACACATATACTCACAATTCTATCGTGGTGTTATTGTCGGGGACGTTTTAATGTCACAGTCAGGCGTGTGAACCTATTCGGTGTAACAATATTGAAGTAAACACAAATGTTTAGTCTTTAATGCTGTATTTTCACAGTATTTTCCCAACAATGTAGAACGCGGTATTGATTTCAACATTTGCCTTTATAACGAATTCGACAAATAGCATTGATGTGTTTACATTAGATGTCTGAGATTTGAACCAATTATAAATTCACCTTTAGCACTGGACATGTACCCTTAACATATAAAGAAATTACCAAATATCAAAACACAATAGCGTATGAATTGGTTATGAATTCTATCTTGGAGTTTACTTATTTAGATTGTTATTCTGCATTATAGAATTCAAATACAAACATTCCACTAGTGATAGGAACGAAAACCGTTTAGGCGCTTCCAATTGGCTGATGTGACCGGTTAAAACAGACCGATTGAAATTAGAGCAATGTTTTCAAAACACAGTTCACTCTTCCAATACATAATTTAATTATTTGGTTTATTATGTTTTAAACCCATTTTAACATTGTCCACCTACAATTAATTCAAACACGTATATTTTATTATCCGTTTTGTAACCAAGGGATATTTGATAATTTGTGCCTTGGGTAAACTGAAATATTGATACATTTCTTTGAAAATAAATTTGATAGTTACATAATAAACAAATGAATAAATAACAAAATAAATAAATAAATGAATAAATAAATAGATAAATGAAATTGATGCGTAGTATATGAATGGATGTTACGAAAGGTATGTCCATTGGTAATTCCAACCTGAAATAAATACTGTGGTCGGATACATATTCAGATCCCTGAATTGGTATTCTTTGAGCTATTGTTGGCTGACATCCAGAACTGATAAGGTACTCAATTTCGATAAATCAGAATTTCATTACTATGCGCTAATATATTTCCCGTTTTCTCGAAGTCTTACAAATTGGACCATTCTATAATGTCATGCTATTCCGTGAAGGCCGACATGACAATGATTTAATGTAGTCTAATTTCCAAAACTAACAGAGTTATTGAAGACGATATATATATATATAGATAGAGTGAAACGAAGGGAAGTAACCCTATGAGATTATCATGCTAATTATAATATGTTATATCTGCTCATATCGAACGACACCAAAAACACCCATATGCCTTTTATTAAAAATTAAATGTGACTGGTACCTGTTCTCAAATTAAGAATAGCTATTCTCTACCAGTATTACTAAAGGTGCAGTGCATTGTCAATACACGTTAATGCTAGATCAATTTTTTTATTTGCAAATTCATGGTCCGTTGAGGTATGTAGCACGAAATTAAGGCTATCGGTACCATTCTAGAAAATGAAGAAAGAAAATAGCTTTTAAAAAGATTACAATATTCATACCACGAACCGAATAATTACAAATTAATATTTAAAAAGTAAATCTCGTTCAGTTTCAGAGTTTTTGCCTTCAACCTGCTTAAACACGTTCCGTCTGTCAAAGGAGCTAAAACTTTAAGTTACGGTTCAATCGGTCATGCCAGCTAATGGCAATACATTTCAAGTAAACAGTCAATCATAAAGTCGATTTTCACTTATCGAATATGGTGGCTAATAGATCCTAAAGTACAGGTACGTTGTGTGAAACTATTTCTGTGTGTACAAGTACAGAGTAAATGTAATTACGTTTTTTATGTTGCAGTATGTAGATTAAATCGGGAATATACTTAGGTTTATGAAAGAAATGGTTATAGCTAGTGTTCTGCTGTACAAGAAAATTCGTCAGTTTTGGAGGATTTCTTAAGCATTTTAACACTATGTCTTATCAATAACACAAATGTATATTGATATTAAATGACGATGTACAGGTTTGGAGGAATATGTTGCAGGTAAGTGGGGTTTTTTTTTATACTTATTGGGGCATGTGTATATGTCTGTGTATGTGTATAGTGGAGGTATGGTCACTAGGGGTATGGTCAGTGGTGGTGGGGTTGGGGGAGGTATGGTCAGTGGGGGTTGGGTTGGGGGAGGTATGGTCAGTGGGGTGGGGTCGGGGGAGGTATGGTCAGTGGGGGTGGGGTTAAGGGAGGTATGATCAGGGGTGGGGTGGGGTTGGGGGAGGTATGGTCCATGGGGATGGGATTGGGGGAGGTATGGTAATGGGGGTTGGGGTTGGGGGAGGTATGGTCAGTGGGGTTGGGGAAGGTATGGTCAGTGGGGTTGGGGGAGGTTTTGTCAATGGAATGTGGTTGGGGAATTGGAGAATGGGATGTGCTTGTTTAACACGTGTGGTTCGTTTAATATAACCTGTTGGTACTTAATGGTGACCTTTCCTTTCTGTAGCCGATATGTTGCGTCCAATCATGGCCAGATGATCCAAAGGACATGGATAAAAAAGATAAAGGAACATCCATATATATGACGTCATTTAAAGAAAAGGCAAATTCAGAGTTGCCCAAGTTTATTAACAGAAGCATGAAAGAAAGGAGAGCGGAGGGCATAGGTAAGTAGATATCACAGACCTCATGTCCCTATTATCTACAGCTAACGTCTTGAGTTTTGTATCTGTTTCTGCTAATATTCATGCAACCGTCAGGACCTTTGAAGACGGGGGTCAATGGGGAAATCAAAGCACAGATAGTGAGGAAAATATAAAGTTTTCGGGGGACTGCAATGGGGGCCGCAATGGGGGCCGCAAAGGGGGCCGCAGATGTACTTTTGTCTGTTATTTATCTCCTCGGTAAACGACACGGACGAAAACCAATGATTGCACAAGGAAACCTGTATATGTCACTTCTTATGATAATGCACAAACGTATTGTTATAAATGTCTATTGATGTAAGGGAGGCAATTGTGAATTTTAATGTTCTTATTTGTCTCCAATATTGAACTCTTTTGTAAAAAAAAAAAATAATAATAAAAAGGTTTGGAAAGGAAGGAGATTAAGAACTTACCATTACAAAAGTTAATGTAAATTTCTGCCAAAGAACTATCATATTACACAACAATACAGGAGGCCATATGTGCTCCAGTTTCTCTTTCACGGTAGACATTTTAGAAATCACCCCGACCTGCAGAGGTTGCCATACAATTAGGGGCTTGTTACAACAAAGTTAGCTACAGCAGGGGTATAACTATTGCTTCCTGGACTCCAGAACGGCGTGTTTGAGCTATGACTGTAGAAAAGCGAAAACCCCGTAAGAAGTAAAATGTCTTATATGATATAAAAAAAATCAGTAAAATTTCCGTAAACTGATTACATCTCAAAATAACAACTGAAAATCTTTGAACTGTTTGCCCTCAATTTAGGAGGGAATTCTTTTCGTCAATTCTTCAAACGAGTTTTCTTTGTTAAAATGAATTGAATGAGTATCAGACTATCACACAGTGATAACGTATAGAAACAGCTGTCTTTTGGCTTATACTACACCCTATTTTATATTTTATACTACAACCAGCGCTGCGTTTATTTGTACACATCTGTCATGTTTACTTTTACTGTATTCGGCAATGACGTTAAATTGCAATCCATCCCAGAGTGCATTGCGGTACCCCAATAGTATATCTGTGAACGGTTCATGCCATTTCAAGATTCTTGATAAAAAACGTATTGTGTCCAATAATATAGAATTTCATCATTTCTCGGTATTGTAATTTGTGCAGTTATTTTGAAAATAGATGTTTGTTCATCTATGAAAAGACTATATTAATGTATATGGTTATAAATGTTATGGATTATATCGCGGAAGATTAATTTGGAGTAAACAGTCACCAACCGTCGTGTTTACATTTTGTACCTTCACTTTATATCTACCTACGTGTTCTTTACACATATTGTGATATACTGTAACATCAGTGATAACTGATGATAATTAGACTGCAATATTAGCACATAACCTCTCAAAAAATCCAAAACGTTGGGGTTTTTTTTACGCTGATTGAGGGCACACAAAACGGTCTACAGCTGTGTCCTTCGTTAGTGTTGTCAGGGATGCCACGATAGTTTTGCATGACGTCAATCTTTGACCCTGGCATTAAGGTCAACTTTTGCTTTGAGACAATGACCCTGTATTATTCTATTTATTAACTGTTCATGCTTGTATGATTTTAATTTTCTTCTAGTGCCTTTCAATCTTCCTGCCGAAAATTTTGATGTCAGGTCAGAGATGATGCTTCCCGTCTGTGAGACAGTGAGTATCATACCAACCCTGTACCATATCTATACCATCCCTGTGTAGTATCCTACCATCCCTGTACCATTCCTGTACCTTCACTGTGAAGTATCATACAATCCCTGTACCGTCCCTGTGAAGTATCATACCATCCCTGTACCATCTCTGTATCATCCCGGTGAAGTATCATACCATCTCTGTACCATTCCTGTACCATCCCTGTGAAGTATCATATCATCCCTGTACCATCCCTGTGAAGTATCATACTATTCCTGTACCATCCCTGTACCATCCCTGTGAAGTATCATACCATCCCTCTACCATCCCTGTGAAGTATCATAACATCCCTGTACTATCCCTGTACCATATCTGTACCATCCCTGTATCATCCCGGTGAAGTATCATACCATCAATGTACCATCCCTGTACCTTCCCTGTGAAGTGTGATACCATCCCAGTACCATTCCTGTGAAGTATCATATCCTCCCTGTACCATCCCTGTACCATCTCTGTACCTTCACTGTGAAGTAATATAACATCCCTGTACCATCCCTGTGAAGTATCATACCATCCCTGTACCATCCCTGTGAAGTATCATATCATCCCTGTGAAGTATCATCTCATCCCTGTACCATCCCTGTGAAGTATCATATCATCCCTGTACCATCCCTGTGAAGTATCATATCATTCCTGTACCATCCCTGTGAAGTATCAGTATCATAACATCCCTGTACCATCCCGGTGAAGTATCATACCATCAATGTACCATCCCTGTATCATATCTGTACCATTCCTGTACCATCCCGGTGAAGTATCATACCATCAATGTACCATCCCTGTACCTTCCCTGTGAAGTATAATACCATCCCAGTACCATCCCAGTACCATCCCTGTACCATCTCTGTACCTTCACTGTAAAGTAATATAACATCCCTGTACCATCCCTGTGAAGTATCATACCATTCCTGTACCATCCCTGTACCATCCCTGTGAAGTATCATATCATTCCTGTACCATCACTGTGAAGTATCATACCATCCCTGTATCATTCCTGTGAAGTATCATACCATTCCTGTGAAGTATCATACCATCCCTCTACCATCCTTGTGAAGTATCAGAACATCCCTGTACCATATCTGTACCATCCCTGTATCATCCTGGTGAAGTATCATACCATTCCTGTACCATCCCTGTACCATCTCTGTACCATCCCTGTACCATTCCTTTACCATCCCTGTACCATCTCTGTACCTTCACTGTAAAGTAATATAACATCCCTGTACCAACCCTGTGAAGTATCATACCATTCCTGTACCATCCCTGTACCATCCCTGTGAAGTATCATATCATTCCTGTACCATCACTGTGAAGTATCATACCATCCCTGTATCATTCCTGTGAAGTATCATACCATTCCTGTGAAGTATCATACCATCCCTCTACCATCCTTGTGAAGTATCAGAACATCCCTGTACCATATCTGTACCATCCCTGTACCATCCCGGTGAAGTATCATACCATTCCTGTACCATCCCTGTACCATCTCTGTACCATCCCTGTACCATTCCTTTACCATCCCTATGAAGTGTCATACCATCACTGTACCATCCCTGTGAAGTATCATACCATCCCTGTGAAGTAGCATACTATCCCAGTACCATCCCTGTACCATCCCTGTACGATCTCTGTGAAGTAATATAACATCCCTGTACCATCCCTGTGAAGTGTCATACCATCCCTGTACCATCCCTGTACCATCTCTGTGAAGTAATATATGTAATGGTATTTTTCTATATCAGTCAAGGTACCATCTCAAATCAATTCAAATGACTTTTCAACCACAGCTGGTTGAGATTTCGGGCAGTTGGAAAGAATTCTGTGAACTCATAGTTATAGACGTATAGAGTTTAAACCTGCTTTCGCTTTCACTAGCTTATTAGACAAAAATTGTTCAATCAATGAGATAGAGAAATACAAAAACATGTCGCCACTGTTCACAACGCGACAAAAATTCTACCCTATTTCATGGTATTATTGGTGAACAGTTCCGTGTTCTGAATCTCAGTCATCGGTCGATCTGGCCCAAAACCATTGCTAGATATACTCATAATGATATCTTGTTTCTTTGTCAATATTGCTTGTGCTTTCACAAGACATACGGTACCTTACGTCATCAACATAGTCTTCAAAGAAAATTGCAGCTCTAAATGTTTGTTTCTAAATGAGCCAATCATAAGTGCCGTTACATTTCAGACACGGATTCCGTCAGCACCACACCCACACAAGTATTTACTTCGGAGGCGGAAAGTCCCGCCACAGTTTCAGTGTAAGTAAACACATTTGATAAGACATGCACAGTTCACTACATAATCGTGCTGTTATGTAAATATTATAGTACAATATTATATTTTGTCTGTTATATGCCTTTCAGTTTTTACATTTGTTTCAAAGACGTGATAAAAATTACGTTTCATGCAATTAGAGAGCAATTGAGATGGAAAATTCCTTATATGGTCTTCTAGAATTAAAATAATTAAAATCGCAATTTTGGTTCACATGAGTTTGTCAAGCATCGGTCAAAATTGTGGTAGTCGCGACATAAAGCGCCACCTAGCGATTGCGATTAAAACAGTTTGTTGACTCTGACTTTTATTGTACTATATACAGCCTACGGGATATTCTATAACAACAAAGGTGAACCTGTGAGGTCCCAGTCTGTAGACCGCCCCCTGTCGAGACCTCCGCCCATGAACGACAACTCAGCTCACGTGAGCATCACGAGTCTGTGTGGACATGACTTCACGCGGAGGCGATATATAGCGCCACCTTCTGGTATCTTAAATGTCACGAGTAAGTTTCTCACAGCTTTAATATTATTTTGCAATTACGCACCAGGCTTGTTATGAGGGTAAGTGTTCATTGTGTAGGAATAAATCAAACTATACTGGGAGGTAGTGAAAACCCTGTATACACATTGCCAACACTTTTTAAGGTACTTTGGCGACATCTGGCGGAGGAGTCCATCAGTATAGGGGCGATAGTGTGTACGAGGAGATTACCGTAATTCGTGTTTTATTTTCTAAGACAGGAAGTAATTTAATAGGATTCTGGATTTTTAAAAAATGAGGTGTACTCTTTCCGTTTTAATGCAGCGTGCCAGATAATCGTGCTGGGAAATCCCTTTCCAATTAGCATTTAGCCGCAATACACTACTCGCCTAGAGGAATCGTTTAGATCGGTTCAACGGAAAATTGACGTCTTGAATAATATCACTAGCGGAGGCGTTGAAATGAATAATGACTTGTTGCATAATACTCTCTGTAATTGTGACGAGTTTAAAAAAAAGTACGTCCTCATTGCTTCAGGTTGTGTAATTTTTGGTTCCGTGAATTTACGTCATCCACGGTATAAGCCTATATCCCAGGGTGTGTAGCTGGTTTCGAGATCATAACCGTTTGTGTACATATGTAGCATGTATGATATTAACGGCAATGTCGGAATTTATTATGTTTTTTTTTTTTTTTTTGATGAAAGGAAGAAAGTGTCTCCGTACATTTGAGAATATTTTATATTTCATTTCAGATTTTGATGGTGGCGCCAAGGCGATCGGAAGTCATCGATTTGACGAGAAATACTTACCTTTTATACGGGCAAAGTCGGTCATCTGAATCCCCACTGCTCCGTTCTCCGTGCCGGAATTGTCATGTAAAACGCGGGACTGTTTACTGGAATGAAATTTCGTTGAGGAACAATTTTAAATATATACATTAAAAGTTATCTATAATTTGTAAAATATATTTTATTTACATATTAACTGTGATAAAACAACAAAATGTATTACTGCATATTTTGTAATTTTTCCACATTTTTTTTTTATTTTAATTTAATTAAAAAAATTATTGATGACAAGTATTATTTTAGATGTGTTTATTTATTATGAATTTTGAATAAGAGACACACTCGTATCTAAAATCGCAATGCCTTCTTTGTTATTTATTTAAAATATGGTTTCATAAACTTTCAAGATTTGAACATATTCTTGTTATATATGCCAGACTTGACGAAAACAGTAAAAAAAAACCCGCAGGGATCGTGCATGGCTGCCAATAACATTTGCTCTTTATTTGCTTTATTTTTCCACTTCTTTTCTCCTTCCTTCTATCCTCTTACTTTCCCTGATCACTTGATAAGGACAAAAGACAACAAGAAACCAATATACATAGACAATGAAGTTCAGCAGATAGTGATAGGAAACTGTCAAAATCGGAAATAGCTGCTGGATATTTTTCAATCGGCCTAAAAATGTTCGATGCGTTACTAAACTGTATTAAGCAAATGGAACCCTGCACATTTGAGAATTATTAATTTAAATGTAAACGCTAAGAAATCCTATAAATATAAGATGTTAAATAGCATATAACCTTAACTCAGAAACAGCCAAATAATATATTAACTAGCACATCTATATTGTGTAAGGTAGTATATATCCTAAGCTCTTACACAAATCTCAGGTATAATGTGTAAGGTAGCATACATCCTTAACTCTTACACAAATCACAGGTATAATGTGTAAGGTAGCATATGACATGAAGTCTTACACAAATTACAAGTATAATGTGTAAGGTATCATACAGCCTTAACTCTAACATAAATCACAGTTATAATGTGTAAGGTATCATACAGCCATAACTCTTAACACAAACCACAGGTTTATTGTGTAAGGTAGCATATGACATGAAGTCTTACACAAATCACAGGTATAATGTGTAAGGTAGCATATATCCTTTACTCTTACACAAATCACAGGTATAATGTTTAAGGTAGCATATATCATTGACTCTTACACAAATCACAGGTATAATGTATAAGGTAGCATATATCCTTAACTCTATAACACAAACCACAGGTATAATGTGTAAGGTAGCATATGACATGAAGTCTTACACAAATCACATGTATCATGTTCAAGGTAGCATACAGCCTTAACTCTAACACAAATCACAGGTATCATGTGCAAGGTAGCATACAGCCTTAACTCTAACACAAATCACAGGTATCATGTGCAAGGTAGCATACAGCCTTAACTCTTACACAAATCACAAGTATAATGTGTAAGGTAGCAAACAACACAAACAAAATTCAGACATATCCTAGAACTAAATATATAATGTAATATGATTATATTGATTTTTAACTACAAATCATAAGTGAAGAAATGCATATTGTAATGTTAAAAACTTCATATTTGTGATCCGACCTTGAAATTATACATAGCAAGGAAAACCGATATTTACGTAGCGTAGAAAATGCCACCTTTTCAATAATAATAGAAGGAGAACATAGGATTTAATTTGACGAGATTCTGTTAAATTTGTTAAATTTTGTTTAAGTTTGATAAGACAAAAAAAATATTAAAAAAAACTAAAAAAAAAAAAAAAATGAAAAAGACTACAATGACCAGTCTTTTTAATCTTTCGATGTTTCTGGTTGAAAGACAAAAGAAATGTACAGTATAGAACAGGTGATAGGTAATATCAATGTTTTTGCGAGCAAAGGGACGTAACCGTCGCGTGAAATACAAAAATGATTTGATATCTGAGGCATAAGGTCCACATGATATTTTTATAATCCTCGGAAAATACACTGTAGTCAATAGAAATATATTGCATTATGTAAACATGGTACCGGGAGCTCATTCGTCATCTGAACTTGAGCTACTTTCTGATTCCGCTTCAGGCTCCGGTTCTGGTTCCGGTTCTGGTTCCGGATCCGGTTCCGGTTCTTCAATCGGATCAGTCATGACTTCTGCTTCCGCTGTTTCCAATTCTGTCATGACCTCAACTTCCGCTGTTTCCAATTCCGTATTTGTTTCAGCTTCTTTTGGATTCGAGAAAATATTTTTCAATTGCTTCTTAACTTTCTTACAGTTTTTCTCGTGAACTTTTTCTCCCTCAATGTCTTCCATGATATCTTTGAGACCCCGCCAATCTCGGCAGCAGACAGACGATATAGATATCCCCGCCTTTTTCATTTCACGCAAACCATCTCGGTTTTCCTCGTCGTCGCCTTCGCATTCAACGCCGCGGAGTTTTACAAGTTTCAAACTAATACAAAGTTTCTTTTCTTGTTCCTGTAGTGATACAACAAACTCGCTGAAAGGCTTCGAGAACGAGGCTAACGGTGAATAGTTCATGTATAATTCTATATGGATATCGTCACCTTCTAAAATGAAGGGATCGTTTGAAAGAAAATCGAAACATTTTTCGTCTGCTCTCTGTTCGTCGCCTGCTTCTGAATGAAAAATATTATTCTGACTTTGTTTCCCGCCATCTTTCTTCACCACGCAAACAGTCACTGTATCTTCCGGAAGTTCATCCTCCTTATATCCGGTGTCCCACAGGATGTAGAACTCTGGCAGGTAAAGACACCTCTCGTCCGCCATTTTGAAATGTTGAGCTACAAAATAAATATGAAGATGTGTTTAGTATAACTACAGATTTTACATTTTGAGTCAAATAATGTCATCCAAGGCTTCACCAATACAGCGTCATTATTGCGCACGTGTGCATCGAATCGGCGACGGTTTGCCGTCGAGATGACTTTTCCGCTTGACTGATTACACCGCTGTTAGGAAATAATTTATGCTAATTTAAATTAGTTTTAATCAACAGAAGACAGTAACATGCACGGACAAATAAATATATGAACTGAATGTTAACGAGAAATATGTGTCACGACTGCCTGCGAATCGTTGTCCTTAAAAACGACAACATATGCTGTAACATAGGCGATACAATATATGTTAGCTTTATGTAGGCCTACAATGCAATCTATGGGAGAAGGCATTTCTAAGTTTGGGATAAAAACAAAATTTGTTTCTTATCCCATTTGTTACATTGAGAAATTAATGTAATTTTGAAATCAAATGCATGGATTTGTCAGATTGGATATACTGAGGGGAATTCGAAAGATGGACTTTATCACAGTGTTTTTGTCAATTCTTTATCACTATATGAAGTGACTGTAAATTCAATGACTTGCATACGTAAATAATTTAAACCATCAAGTTATGTTTGTCGTTTGCAGAATAAATGATGAAACAGTCTATTTTAATAGTTACACATTCATGATGTATACTGAACTATATATAGTGACATAGGTTTGCTCCACGTGTGACACACGTGTAAGGACATAGGTGTATAAGCTGATCCGGCCGTACACTGATTCACCGGAGTCAGCAATAAGTTGATACATGTATGTGGGATTCCTGAGAGAAAATGATGAATTTTAAACAATATACTACGCCTAAGTAATATGCCACGTACATGTTGAAGATACTATTTATCAATTGGAAAGACAATAAGATATCGTAATACAGAACACACCTATACACTTACCTGTCTGTTCCGCTACGTTCTCCCCGCCTACCTAACAAAGATGGCGGACACAGGCGTAAGCTATATTTACACAGTAAGAGTGAGTTATACCTATACAATATTGGAAAGTAAACAATCACACCTTTTCCGTGTCTAACTAGCCGTAACCTACAGTATTATATGTGTGACACATTGGATTCCAAACGTTTTACCCAAATGTTTATCAGTGAATACAATTTGTTTAAACCAACTTTGACACCTAGTCTACCTGCAGAGATTCGTGTTTTATAAACACAGAAAGGTTGAAGATGTTATCGGAGGGTTTTTTTAATTTTCCCGAAGATATTGATTGAAGATTTATATGTAATTAAAAGGTATAAAAAGCCGAATTCTAGCGACCCAGCCACATTCGACATTTAGAAAATTGTTTATATATTTTACAACAACGCGATGGTTACAAATCCTACATCGACAGAAAGAAAAATAATATTCTTTCTACTAATTTGCATATGTGCATATATGTCAAAGCATGTTCTAGAGTATTTCTTCTCATTTCTCCTAACCACTTTACTTGTCATGAGGCAAAATATTTTACTCCGGTCAGCCATGGGTCTATATATTTTACTCTGGTCAGCCATGGTTCTAAATATTTTACTCCGGTCAGCCATGGGTCTATATATTTTACTCTGGTCAGCCATGGGTCTATATATTTTCTCTGGTCAGCCATGGGTCTATATATTTTCTCTGGTCAGCCATGGGTCTATATATTTTCTCTGGTCAGCCATGGGTCTATATATTTCCTCCGGTCAGTCATGGGTCTATATATTTTACTCTGGTCAGCCATGGGTCTATATATTTTCTCTGGTCAGCCATGGGTCTATATATTTTCTTCGGTCAGCCATGGGTCTATATATTTTACTCTGGTCAGCCATGGGTCTATATATTTTCTCCGGTCAGCCATGGGTCTATATATTTTCTCCGGTCAGCCATGGGTCTATATATTTTACTCTGGTCAGCCATGGTTCTAAATATTTTACTCCGGTCAGCCATGGGTCTATATATTTTACTCTGGTCAGCCATGGGTCTATATATTTTACTCCGGTCAGCAATGGTTCTATATATTTTATTCTGGTCTGCCATGGTTCTAAATATTTTACTCCGGTCAGCCATGGGGTCTATATATTTTACTCTGGTCAGCCATGGGTCTATATATTTTCTCTGGTCAGCCATGGGTCTATATATTTTACTCTGGTCAGCCATGGGTCTATATATTTTACTCCGGTCAGCCATGGGTCTATATATTTTCTCCGGTCAGCCATGGATGTGTTTAACGGGTTGGTGAGTTGGGACAGCTGTAGCGTACTTGTCTTTCACCTAGATGCCTGGGGTTCGATACCCCGAGCGGAAGTAAAAAGGTGTAAGGTTCAACAGTTCGACTTGAGGGTTTTCTTTGGTACTGTATTCCAGCTAATTTGATTTAAACATATTTATTGCCCCAATATTGAGCAGAGGATTAGGCACAAGTTATTTCAACTTATGACCGCCTTTTCCTCTAATACAATACATGATAAATATTTACATGATAACATTAACAAGGCATACATAATATATTTAACATTTAGTACATTTTACTTAAAATCTGTTGCTGGATTTGATAAAAATTTGCACGTGTCTGAATACTTCTGTATTGGTGGTTAGGGACAGATTTTCATTTCCAAATAAAAATAGATGTAAATTCACTTGATCTAAATTCAACATGTTTATACTTTGAAAAAATGATATTCTTACTCTATTATAAAGCTTACATTCTAGGAAAAAATGACCAACATCCTCACAGTAGTGTCAACAAGCACACGATGGGTTATCAACAATCTTAACACGGAACAAATCACTTTTCAAAGAGCTGCACTGATGTCTGAGTCTCGTATGTAATATATTTAGCTTACGTTCGCCAAAATTATAATAAGATGGAGGACAAGAATTAGCGTCATTAGATAAAGAAGATTTAAAAGCATTCAAAGATGGTAATGTTCTTATTGAATTGTCTAGCGAATTCCACAGACGTAAACTTGATGGCAGAAAAGAAGAGTTACTTAGGGAGAGTCTGAAAGAAGGAATGATATAATCATGTTGGTTCCGTAAATTATACTGATTGTTGTAACCCACTGTGTTTGGCAAAAAGGGCCGATAAATAAAAAGGGGTTAAATTATTTATCATTTTGTATAATACATTTAACTTTCGTGTCTTCCTTCTCTCTGATAATGTTTCCAATCCCGTTTCAAAATATAGTGATTCATTACTAGCATACAAAGGTAAACCTGTTATAACTCGAGCCGCTTCTCTTTGTGCTTTCTCTAATTTCTCAGAATCCAAAACAGAGCAACCATCCCATACCTCACAAGCATATTCAAAAACAGGTAGAATGAAGGATTTATATATTTTTAACAGAGAATCTCTTTTTAACAAGTATTTCAGTTTTCGTAAAACATTAATTTTTTTCATAACCGAGCTATATATTGCCTCAACATGGCTCCCCCACTTTCCACTTGAATTAAAATTTACTCCTAAGTGTCTGTGAACTTCTGTAAAACTTAAAATTTCTCTGTCAAAAAATAAATCTAGATCCCCGTCAGTATTGACTGAATTTGAAATAAAAAGGACATCTGTTTTTAGAGGGTTAAAAGAAACCAACCAACGTTTAGCCCACTGATTTAAAGATTCAAGGTCCCTGTTGAGAACAGTCTGTAATTCGTGACATGAAAAAGCAGAATGAAATAATGATGTATCGTCTGCAAATAACCTAGAGGCCGACTCAAGAGCATCTGAAATATCATTGATATATAACAAAAAAAGAAACGGCCCGAGTATTGAGCCTTGGGGTACACCAGCGTCGATATTACCTAGACCGGAATAAGAATTTCCAATTAAAACTTTCTGTTTACGCTGGTGAAGATAATTTGTGAACCAATTTAACAATGATCCCGAAATTCCATAAGATTCCAATTTAGCTATCAGGCCCCTGTGCCAAACACGATCGAAAGGTTTAGATATATCACAAAAAATAATACAAGTGTGTTTTTTTTCTTCTAAAGCAGTACAAATATTATGGTAAATTTCAATAAGTTGATAAACAGGAGAATGACTAGGCATAAAGCCGGACTGATAGTGATAAAACAAACGATTGTCAAACAAATAATTATACAAGTGTTTGTAAACTACACGCTCGAAAACTTTACCTACTGTAGATAGAAGGGATATTGGTCTATAATTACATGGCGTATGACGGTCACCCTTTTTGAAAAGTGGCATTACAGTTGCAAGTTTCCATTTGTTTGAATACACACCTAAAGAAAGAGACATGTTAAAAAGTAGTTCAAGTGGTTTACAGATAGAATTTGCAGTGTACTTCAGCACATGATGACTAATCCCATCCCCTCCCGAGGCTTTCCCTAGTTTTAAAATCTGTGAAACATCTTTTATTTCCAAATAGTTTAACCTGAGAGATACAAAGCGTTTATCAGTTTTGGATTCAATAATCGGAACTGGGACATCAACATCATTAACATGAGTAATGCTACAAAAATAGTTATTAAGTAATCGCGCTTTATCGTCATCGTTAGAAAAGGTAATATTGCTCGTTTGGTCCGTCATTGAAGGGATGTGTTGATAATGTCCGCCGGATTTCATAAGTCGTTTTACTAGTTTCCAGTAAGATTTAGGATCAGAAGAAAGGTATTCATCAATAAGTCCATGGACATTTTCGTAAAAGAGAAGTCTAGCATGTTTTTTCATATAATTTACCTTGTTCCTCTGAGCTTTAAATTTGTCAATGTCTGAATGTCGGAGTGTTGCCCTGGCAATTTTGTGTAGTCGGTCACGGATTCTCAAATTTTTTCTAAGTTCAGATGTCATCCAGGGCTTGTCGTTAGGTCGAATTGTAACTGTTTTAGAGGGTATACATCTATTAATAAAATCTAAAAAAATGTCAGTAAAATTGTCACACGCAGCATCAACTGAATCACTGTTAGAAAACAAGGCAGTCCAGTCATATTTGTCAATAAGATCATTTAGCATGTCAAAGTCAGCTCGTTTATATAACCACACTTTCCGTCTGTAAATAGGTTTTGTGAAAGAGTTTATTTCGATTACTGCAATGCAACCCTCGTGGTCGCTTACATTCCTTATTATAGGTAAAACTGACGATTCTTTACAAATAAGAGAGTCTGATAATAAAATGGGGTCAAGTAAACTAGATCTGGATGGACCAATTCTAGTAGGTTCAGATATAACGTTTTTCAAGGAAAACGTGTTTATATAATCAATAAGGACATGGTTATTAGAAACAGAGAGTAAATCAACGTTGATATCACCAACAATAACTACATTTTGAGACATATCTAATGCACTATCAGTAGATAATTTTAAGTTTTGCCAAAACGAATTTATCGAGTATTCAGGCCTGTAGACAGTGCCAATTATGAGATTTGAACTAACTAAAGTAATTTCTATCCATATAACTTCATCCCCCGGATATTCTATAGCATGTAGACGAGAAACTTTCAACAAGTCATTAACATAAACTAATACACCACCCCCAGCAAAATTTCTGTCATGTCTAAAGGGTTCATGAAAACCGGCTATAAGTAAATCGTCAGTGGAGACGTTATCATCTAGGTGTGTCTCAGTCAAACATATAATGTCATATTCACTAGCTATGCCCTCGATATAATCTAACTTGTTTCTAAAACTCCTAATATTTACATGAAAAATAGAGAGTTCTCCACTATTCGGACCAGGATTTGATTCGACATCCATGTGCTGAAGCAGAAGTAATAGCAAAAGTAGTATAAAATTATAGTTTCGAAAACTAATTAACATGACACGATTCAATAACGTGAGCAAGTGTATGAACCAGTCATGTAGTAACAATAATAACTTAAATATTGAACTTATACAAAACGAGTAAAAAATGAAAGATTTTACAAAATATCTGCCGTAGACCTTGGAATAAAATATACCAATCGCCATTCTGTGACCCAAGTAGT